TCTGGATAAGCTAACCGCACTATACGACCAACATCTGCTTCAAACTCTTGCAAATTTTCACTAGCTCGTTCAATTCTTCTTCATAGTTGCGCCTTGTAGACTTGTTGTAGATGAACATCTCCGTAACGTTTGTTTAGTCGAATGAACAAGGTCTGGTAACATTTTTCTTGACCCTTAGGAAAATCTTAGGATCTCCGCAGCATCACCTCGTAAAGCAGCAATTACGGAAACAGCCTTTTCTTGTTCTGTCCAATGATTGGCTGTCGCAATAGCTTTAAATTGTCTAAGGTATATAAACCAAAAAGACTTTCCATCAAAGTGTCGTTTCATCTCTCGGTGATTCTTCTTTCACTACCGGATCTAAGGCTACTGTGTTAACTGGTGGTAGCACTTTTGTGTTAGTTATCATGGTCTCTAATTGTTTGATCTTCTCTACTACGTCTTCTATCTTGTCGTTTACATTTTTCTGTAGCTTAACGAATGTTCTTGAGACTTCTTCAAATTTCTCATTGTTTTGATTACATACTTCTTTAATTATTTGAGAAGTCTCGTCGAATCTTCTAACAACATTTCCGAATTTCTCGTCATTTTTTCTAGCTGCTTCTTTAATAATTTGAATCTTTTGGAAACGTTCTCTAATTTGTCATCATTTTTTTTTAAGATTCTTCAATCTTTTGAGAGACGTTTTCAAATTTACTATTTACTATTTGAGACACATTTTTTATTTTCCTTAAAACTGCTTTTTCTGCTGATTGAAATTGGAATGTCTCTGGGTCGTCTCCACTCTTGTCGAGAACAGTTTTCAGTCGTTCTTGGAGTATCTTCTTGGACCCGCTGCAGTCTTTATCGCGTTCTTCTAGTTGCTCACGCAACTGTTTTACTCAAAGTTCTACTAGCAGCATCTTTGGTCAGGCACACACGTACTTTTTAAAAATGTTCTTTAGTACAAAGTTCACTACCCAACTGTGACGAGATTAAATAAAACGAGCGGTTCAAATTTATATAAATATATTTATTTATAACTTTACAGTTCGGTACTATCTTATCAAGCAAACTCACTTCTAACATCGTGTCATATATATATATATATATATATATATATATATATATATATATATATATATATATATAAATATATATATATAAATATATATATATATATATATATATATATATATATATATATATATATATATATATATATATATATATACCAAAGTTACTATGTTCTGTAATATTCCCACCTCTAGTTCGCCTACGTGACGTATTGTTCTCTTGCGTTCGAGAGATGCTGCTTCGAGATGCAATCGTTACACGGGTCACGCCGAATGCATGTTCGTAACAATGTTTTTTAAGTCTCACGCGCAAGGGGTGCTACTTTTAGGGTAGCTCTACTTCAGTGAGTTTTTATGTTTATTTAGTATTTAGTATGCTTTTTGTTTGTTGTAATCTATATTATAATGTAAGGTACCTAAATAAACATTATTATTATTATTATTCCTATCTTTACTGGCTATAATGTGTCTGGGTTTTCAAGGAAGAACAAGCATAAGATTGAATATCCAGATATTTCCTCAGCAATGAAACCGGTTGTTCATGGAGAAGATTTACCAGTTCCAGGACCCTCGGCAAATTGAGAGAAAGATTTGGAAATGTATGACGATAAAAGTGAATTCGATGATGTATCAGAAACGGACGATTCTTATTTTCCCGAAAGCCATGATAAAGCACTCCATGTCCAAAGAACATGCTAAACTTTAAGGTTCTCGATTACAATAATGGAATTTACTAGCCAGTGAAACCAAAGTACAATAATTAGAAACCGTAACCAGAAGCTATCTAGAAAAATTAGAATTTAGACATAACCCAGAACAATGGCGTTTATTTATAGATTCTTCTAAATCAAGTCTAAAAGCAGTTCTGCTCCATAACGGCAACAAAAGACCATCTATTCATTTTGCGCATGCAGTTGGTATGAAGGAAACACACGAAAGTATGTCGCTGATCCTAATTGCAGTAAGCTATGATACATATAAGTGGCAAATATGTGGTGACTAAAAAGTCATCTGATTATTACTAGTTCTTTAGGGAGGATTTGCAAAATTTTGCTGTTTTCTTTGTCTTTGGGGCAGTAGAGTAACAAAGAGCCATTACCAAGTTAAAGAATGGTCACCAAGAGATCAGACATTCTAGGTCAAGCTAATGTAAAAAAATATATCTCTCGTTGATCCCAAAAACGTTCTATTACCTCCGTTACATATTAAACTGGTATTGATTAAAAATTTCGTTAAAGCATTAGATAAAGAAGGAGATGCGTTTAAATACCTTAAATAAATTTTTTCTAAGTTAAGTGACGCGAAGTTTAAAGAAAGGATATTTATTGGACCACAGTTTGATGAAAAATTAAGTGATGTTGATTTAGCTACGTGGATTTCTTTTAAAAGATTTGTTTTCGAGTTTTTGGGGAACAAAAAAGCAGAAAATTGGCAAACTACTTAAAAATTACTGTAAAATGGGCTGTCGCATGTCTCTAAAAATACACTTTCTGCACTCCTATTTAAATTTTTTTCCCGGAAAATTTGGGTGCAGTCAGCGACGAGCAAGGAGAAAGCTTCTTCTTCTTCTTCTTGTAATGCCTATCCGTTTTGGATGTTGGCGACCATCATGGCAATCTGCACTTTGCACACTGCTGCTCTAAAAAGATTTGTGGTTGTTGTGTTGAACCACGTTCGTAGATTTTTCAGCCAGGAAATCCTTCGCCTTCCTGGTCCCCTTTTTCCTTCTACTTTTCCCTGCAAGATTAGTTGCAGCAGTCCATATCTTTCGCTGTTCCTCATGATGTGACCGAGGTATTCGATTTTGGCTGTTTTTATAGTGGTTAACAGCTCTTTTTCTTTTTTCATTCTTAACAGAACACCCTCATTAGTAACGTGGTCGGTATACGATATCTTCAGGATGCGACGATAAAGCCACATTTCAAAAGCCTCAATTTTCTTGTAGGTGGCGTCTGTGAGAGTCCATGACTCAACTCCGTACAACAGTATAGGAAGGATGTAACATCATAGTAACCTGATTTTTATGGGAATTGATAAATCGTGACATTTGAATAACTTAGCCATTTTTTGAAATGCAGATCTTGCTTTCTCTATTCTACATTTGATTTCTATGAAATGGTCCCAATTTTCATTGACGTTCGTACCAAGGCAGGTGTATGTTTTTACTCTTTCTATTTGTTGACCGTTTACACTAATTTGTCCAAATTGCTGTTCTTTCTTAGAGATCATCATGCACTTTGTTTTTTTTAGTGTTTAGTGAAAGTCCGTACCTCTGACTGACCTCTGTGATTCTGTTCATTAACTCTTGGAGGGTTTCAGAACTGTCAGCGAATACTACCGTGTCGTCCGCGTATCTAATGTTATTGATAGATTCTCCATTGATTCGAATTCCGGCTTCAACATCACCCACTGCTTCTTCAAAGATTTCCTCACAGTATATGTTAAACAGCAGTGGTGATAGTATACATCCCTGACGGACGCCACGTTTGATTTTGATATCATCGGATTCTCCTGCCTCTGTTGCATAAATGTCGCAGTTCACGTCTCTGCATTCCGAAAACCAAACTGTGTACGGCTGATTTTTTCTTCGCACAGTCTATATATTCTTTGATGTATGATTTTTAGAAATAATTTTAAAATATGACTCATTAAGCTGATGGTTCGGAAATCACTGCAGGATACGGATTTTGTTTTCTTTGGTAAAGCAATAACGGTCGACTTCAGCCATGTTCTTGGTATTATTCCGCTTAAATATATGTCATTAAATACATTTTTTAGGTGTTGAATACCGTCGGTGTTTTATAAGCTCAGAATATGCATTGTCAGGTCCAGGAGCTTTGCCATCTTTTAGTTGCAATATGGCTTTTTGCACTTCATCTGATGTGATTGGTAAATGGTCATCACATATGTAGGATGGAGGTTGTTCGGATCTAGTATCATCAAAGAGTTCTTGTATGTATATTTTGTCCATATGCGGATTTCTTGATTTTTGTCTGTGATGATATTTCCCTGTTGGTCTTGCAGTTTGATAGCTGTGTTGGATTTCTGAAGACCAGCTGCTTGTTTCAGAGAAAGCTTCCACCAGTATATTCTCATAATGCAGCAACGCTACCGAAAAATGGAAGATATGATGCAGCAATGATAGGAGATTACTGTTGGTTCCTCATGAGAGAAAGTGGTACAGAGTATAAAAGGAAATCAGCGTTTGCAAAGAATTTGTGTACAAAAGACTTACCATAATTTTTGTTTCTAGTTCTGAACTTATTTATATATAGTATATAAGAATGTTTATAATAAATAACATTATTTGATACATTCTATAACTTAAAAATATATGTGGTGAGAAATTTTGGTGTTTGAATTCGCAATAAGGATGCTTTAAACCCCCAGGTACAGCTATTTTAACATCAGTCGCAACTTTTTTTTAATTTGTTGACTAGTGTAATTATACCAAATGGTAAAAGTCTTTGATTTTGAGTAAATGCGTCACTAAAACATCAAAAAATAGTTAAGAACTATCGTAGTCTCGTATTTGGGTGTAAGTTATGTGTATTATCAATGATAAACAGTTTTTATAAACCATTTTTTCCTTTCCTCGTAGCTACAGTTAACAAAAAATCTAATTTAGTTGTTAATGGACTTGCAAAAATGCATCGTAACAGAATTTTATGTCAAGATTGCAAGAAAATACGTCAAAAAGTAAAAAAAATATTTGTTGATGAACTTTTAATAGCTGAGGAAGCAGTGACGCAAGTTTTTCTTAATTATTCCACACAAAATATAAACAATTTAGATCTACCAGATTTTAAGAATGAGAGAAAACTATGGGAAATCTATTAGGCATTTCTGAGTTAATAATACTACTACCATATAATTTAAACTGTTTATTTCTAGTTATACATAGATGACTACTTAGTTTAATTAATTTAAAGTATAAGATTAACATCAAGCAAAATTTGAATATGGTTGGAATCCTGTAATGTATGTTAATGATGCTCTGTAGAGAAATTCGTATTGTTCCTAAAACATAAAAAGTTTAATCGAATTATATAAATTTTTAAGCATATATTATAGTAAATGATTTTTTGAGTTGAAAGTATTTATATTTTTAAAATAATATTCCTATTTGAAAAACTATTCTACTTAGAATTTTATTAAGTTATAACTCTCTTAAATTAATTACTATTTAACTGGGAATAAGCCACAATTAAAGGTTAAAATACGTTTATTGGCGTTTCAATTTCTACTTCGGAAATCGTTCTCAAAATACAAACAGTAAATTAAACAAATTTTGTTTTTTTGTTACTTAGTGAAAAATTCTTCTAATAACTTAATTTTATCTGACTCATATATTGACAATTCAGACATACATTATGCATTTTAAAGTAGACGACTTTAAAATAATATTGCCAATATTGTTGAGTTGCGCTCCTGGGACGACTTTACTTATAAGATAGTTCATTCGATTACATGAAATCAACTTTAACTTGAGAATATCCGCCAGAAAAACCAGGAAAAAACCTCATAATACTATCCCGACATGGTAAGTATTTGGTCGTGCATTTAGTTTGCCTTCAATAAACACCAAATTCTGATTTTATATGTTTCGTTATTTAAAAAACATAAATGATGTATCCTCTATATGTTACTGACTTACTAATACTGGTATTTTCTTATTAATAACTTCCTCTTTCAATATGGGTAACCAGATCCTACTACATTCTGCCGAGGAATTTGCGACACAATTGGTCTCATTTAGCATAATTAGAGCCGCTTCTTTGATTTTTCTTTTTTTACCATCCGTTTCATTTCAATTATTCCATTGAACACTTTGTTCATTATCCCATGCGTGTTTACATATTTGAGATCTATCAAATTCTCTATTTTTAATATAAGATTGATGTTCACTTATTCTAACATTTAATGGCCTTGATGTTTCACCTAAATAAAACTGATCGCATTCACAAGGAATGTTATAGATGCAATTCTTCGTCCTTTCTTCTTCATTGTTAGGTTTGGTTTTGGACAAAATAGATCTCAACGTGTTTGTTGTTTTGAACGTTGTTGAAATATTGAATTTATTTCCTATCCTTTTAAGTTTTTCTGATAACCCTTTTATGTACGATATTGTTATTTTCCTCGTATTTTTCCTTGTGTATGCTGTAGGATCTCGTTCTAGGTTGTTGTGTTCTATTCGATCGATTGTTGAAAATTCCTTATTTATAAACGATAAAGGATAATCATTTTTTAATAAAACAGATGTTAACAAATGTTTCTCCTCCAAAAACGAATTTTCGTTAAAACAAGTAATTTTGGCTCTATCGTATAAGGATTTAATTATTCCCTTTTTTACATTAATATTGTGATTTGATTTAAAATTTAAATATCTATTGGTGTGTGTTGGTTTTCTATACACCTGAGTCTCATATCCAGTATCGTTCTTAGAGATTAAAACATCCAGGAAAGGTAGCGTGTTATTATATTCCTTTTACATGGGAAATGTTATTGTCTCTTCTTTATCGTTTACATCATTAAGGAATGTGTCCAACAACTCTGATTTATGAGGCCATATTGAGAATATATCATCTATATATCTCCACCATACTGTGGGTTTTAAATTTTTTTTAGAAATGATATTTGTTTCAAAATCTTCCATAAATATATCGGCTAATAATGGAGATAAAATAGAGCCTATTGCTAGACCAAAATTTTGTTTATAGAATTCATTATTTAGTTGAAAATATGTATTATCAGTACATAATGTTAATAACTCCATTATGGCCGATATGTTTAGTCTTGTTCTAGTTGCCAATGTATCATCACTCTCTAATTTTGTCTTGACTATATTTAAAGTCTTATCATAAATAAACTATTTATGTCAAAACTTACCAAAGTATTATTTGAATTAAATTCAATATTTGATAATTTATTTAAAAAATGTTGTGTATTTTTTATTAATGTCTCATTTTTATTTGCAAATGGTTTTAAAATATTAAATGAAAAATTTTGATAGTTCACTACAAGGAGAATTCATGGTACTACAAATTAGTCTAAGTGGTATATTCGTTTTATGAATTTTCGGTACTCCATAAAAATGAGGGGTCTTACTGTAATAAGGTGTAATTAATACTCTCTGATAACTTGTTACAAACAATCTTTAAACTTGAATAAAGTTCTATATATTTTGTTTTCCAAAGGCTTTGTTGGATCCTTTCTTAATTTTTGTATAAATCTCTTGTAACAATAAAGCCAAAGTAGTAAGGATTCTCTAGATGCATTTTCCTAAATCTAATATACTCATGTATTAACAAACCTCTGTAGTAACAAATTGTTTCCTACTGTGTCGTATAGTTCGAACAGCTAAACAAACGTCGCATTCTTGTTCTAGCTTCATTTTTTCTATAATGAAGGACAATGCCAGATATAGCCCGGAAGCTTTCGCACCGTCGCTAAAAAGGAAAAACAAAATGTAGAAAAAATAAAAAAATCATTAAGTACCTGATGATGTAAACAAATGCTCGAAAAATAGTCAAGTAATAAGTGGACAGTTGATAGTTAATATTGCTGTATACAGATCACGACATTGTTTTATTGACCTGCAATAGTGTACAAATTGCTAGGGAAGTTAACGTGAATGCTCGAACTGTCCAGCGAATTCTCAAAAGGAATGGGTATCATTGTTTTAAAATATAACTAACACAGTTTTATGAATTTATGTTAGATAAATAGAATGAAAATGTACACTTTTTAAAAAATATTATATTTAGTACACAAGAAACGCAATCCATCCATTGTAAGGTACTATTATCGGAAAAGTTAGCCCCTCAGTGTTGCAGTGCGAACGCAGCATGCGAAAAAGTTAAACGTTTGGTCTAGGATGTTAGGTGACCATATTGTCGGTCCATTTTTTATCGATAGAAACCTAAATGGGCCCAAATATTTACAACTTTCACAGAATGAGATCATTCCGGCAGTTCGACGCCTTCCTGTTAATTTTTAGGAGGTTTATTTTTAACAGGATGAGTGTGAAACGTGTCCTGATCGACTTATAAGTACACGCGGTACAATTAAATGGCCCGATAGATCCTGTGACTTAGCCTTGAGGCGCTCCGTGGACAAACAGCGAATACGCCAAATGGGCATTTTGAGAAAAACGCGAATGAAGTTGAAAAAGTGTTTTTAATTCAATAAGGGCGAATATACACGTCATCAAAATTTTGTAATGCGGTTAGGTAAAAACTATTTTTTTTATAAAAAGTTTTGCTTGTTAAGCAAATAAGATAACCCCATCTAAACCAAAATTATAATTCAGGATATTGAAAAAAGTTTTATTCAAAGGATATGATATGAAAAACATTTTTTAATTAAAAATTGTTCTGTTTAAGATAAATCAAAAACTAAAAAAAACACCAAACAATAAATTATTATTTCAAGCAAAAATCCATAACATCATCCTGACTTTCTCCAGTTAGCGTTGCCAAATTCGTTTGTGATTCTTGGAGAGAGATCAGCTCATCAAAGAAACTCCTATGATGAAGCGGTATGTATGGAAGAAGTGACTTGATGTCTTTTATTTTTTCCTCTGAAAGTTTTATAGGCTGTTGGTATTTAGGAGACAAAACTGCGGCAGATAAATCAAACAAATGGCGTTGATATTCTCCTACTTTTCCTTTCTGCAAAACAACTTGTTCGGACAAAACATTTTGGTACGTTGGTTATATGGAAAAAACCCTTGTTTGAACAACTTGGAGTAAAGAAATACTTTACCATCTTTAAAACTAGCAGTTAATTTTCTTTTTGTAATTAACTTCTGAAGAGCAGTGAAATCAAAAAACATTGATGATGTCATTTTTACTACTTTGAATGGTCTGACCTTCCTTGATGAACGAATTAAGTCAATATAGTGGTCTTCAGAATAAACATCAATATTTCGAAGCCTTAACTCAATGTGACTAAAATCCCTGTCACAAGGTAAATATGAATGTCCAGGAATCATAAAGCAATGTTCTATGAAATCAAATTTTAATTCATGAATTTTTTCAAACAAGCTAAAACAATGTTCATATTTTTGTTCTGGCCGCCACAATTGTCACTAAATAGCACAACTTTTTTGACTTGATGATCCATAGAATCAAAGTAATGGGACAAGCAGCTTGCTATTTCACATGAACCACGACCTCCAGTACTTTCATTCCACATGTACATAACACATTTTTCAGATTTAACATCATGGACTGCAAAATTGTAGGTCCAAAGCTTCCTTTTATAATACTGTACAGATGTCGTCAGTTTAGGGGTAGGGAGAGTTTGCTGCAGATCTATACAAATTGCTGAGACTGAGTCTTCATTATTACTTTTATAACTTTTAAGTATTTTTTGAACTGCTTTGACTCGTCTTAAATGAAGTTCCTTGGCAACTTGTAATTGGTTACGTTGTAAATCATCACAATTTGAAAGTTCCATATCTGTTTTATCAAAAAATTACAAGTATCCGACTTAGGAGGGTTGAAACCAATATTGAATTTTTTATTAAATGTGTCACGATAGAACCGTGAGCTGACAGGTTCAATTAAAGGGTGATTTTCTGTCATCCACTCACAGTACAGGTCATACAACTTGTTTATGTTTAAGTCTGTGGAAAGGTACTTTCGGTAAGGGCTTTTTGCTCTGAATTACTAGGTAATAAATTATATTTTGGGCTAAACAGGTAGCTAAGGAATAGAAATTTAAACAAAACACTCAAACTAACAATGTATAAAACACTTATTGGATCATAGCTGATATATGGGTCAGAACCATGGACTATTTTCAAAATATAAACAGTCTTCTCGTTTTTAAAAGAAATATACTAGTAAGAATAACAGGTGCAATATGTGAGGATGTTATTTGGAGACGGCGATATAATTTCGAGCTACACCAGAAGTATAAAAAAAATAGTAAATTGTGGGCAGAATTCATTTGATTAAAAATGAAATTAACAAAAAAGAGTCGTACGATAAGAAAAACGAGTCTTTTCTATTAATTTTCACATACTCAAAAGTTCTTCCATTATCAGCGAAACGCTGAAACACTTCTTAAAAGAAGTAGAAAATATTTTATTATTTATGGCAAAAAACTTACTAGCACATCACTACAATACTTTCCGATGTCCGTGATAAAGCCTCTGCAGCATCTTTAAAAGCTAAAAATTCTTCAATACTGTTTGGTAACAAATCTTCGTGTCTCCAGTTGTCAAGAGCAATTATATTAACGGTTGTGTTTTCAACCTAAAATAAAACTAAGTAAATCTTATGGTAAAGTAAATAGGTAGGCAATACATATCTACAAATTATAAAAAATATAGATTTTTAATATATAAAAACAAATCCGAGAATAATCGAATATTCGTTTCTACTTCTATTAAGAATAAAAGATGGAAATCCGAATATTTCTTAATTTTTTGAAACCAAAAATCAGATTGTTGCCTTAATTTTTACCTTCAACATTTTTTAAAGCAAAACACAGTGAATAAACCGACATAAGCGATCTTAATTTGCACTCCACGACATATCGATTCATCTAGGTTAGAACCTTTCGATTATATTGTATAGTTAGATCTCAAATACCGGGTTCGGAAGGCAGGCAGCGTCGTAAACAAGTGGATGACGCAGCATTGACTGAAACTTGTGACAGAGAAAACCGAAGCCATCATTCTGAAGGGGACAAGGAACAGGCCAAGTATTGAATTAAAATGTGCGAGAACATGTCTAACACCCAAGAAACAAGCAAAGTATCTAAGAGTAACAGTGCACCAAAATGGAAAAAGGGGAAAGGTGGTCCGGAAGGCTGCGAATAGTGCAGCTGCGTTGGGGAGGGTGATGCCGAATATTGGAGGACCCAAATACGAAAAGAGGAAAGTCTTACACAATGTTGTACAGTTGATCGTCCTCTACTCGGCTCCAGTCTGGAGCAAGGCGGTAGAGATAACGGCCTATAGGAGTCTCATGACACGAGTGGACAGAACAAGTCTTTTGTAAGTGGCATGCCAGGCAGACAGGACTGTGTCTGCGGCAGCCTTATGGACCATCACTGGATGTATTCCGTTACATGTTTTGGCGGTGGAAACAAAAGAGCTTTATGATAAAAGAGGCCCAAACATTACTGTGGCCGAGAGAAGACAGGAAAGGAAAAGGTCAGTTCAAAGATGGCAAGAAGAAAGGAACAACACGGAGGATGTGGCACAGTGGACGAAAATGCTGATCCCGAACATAAGAGATTGGGTGGACTGTGGCCACAGGCGACTAGATTATTTCTTCACGCAGGTGCTCATAGGACACGGGTGTTTTAGAGCCTACCTCTATAGGATCGAGAAGGGTGATACAGAAGAATGCCTATACTGTAGATACTCGGACACTGACACATACGATGTTAGATTGCAGCAGATGGATAGTGGAAAGGAACAGAATGAAGAGAGAAACAGGTGTGAATTGTGTTACAGTGAGAGAAATGATTGGGAGAATGATTGAAAATAAATTAAGTTGGACTAACATATACAGATATATCCGTGCAGTGATCAAGAAAAAGAAAGAGGAAGAAAAACAGCTGGACCAGAAAAGGTAAGAGTAAATGATGCTGAAAGGTGAAGCTAGAAAAGTAAGTCACTCTGTATGAGTTAGAATGCGTGTCTCAGACTGTAAGGAAGGAGGAAAGGCCCGTCTGGGAATGATGCCGAACTAGGAGCGATGAGTGTCTTCTACGCGCTACTTGGAACGAGATAGGGAGCCTCCTTGCCTATGAATAGAGTGTGGATGTATATGAATGGAGAATAAATGAATTAAGGTAGTGCTTCGCTGGATGACAGAGGAGCGTCTGGTTTAGCAGGTAGGCGTTCGGCGTAGACTCGGCGACGAGAGGGAATTTTAAAATACCTCGGGAACTATCGCCGGGAGTACGAAGAACGAATCCTGCACTAAGGTTAGTCAGGTGGCGTCCTGGACTAAGATGTCTTTTGAAGATTCCAGACCCCCCTCCATAAAGACGAAAAAAAGGTTCGAACCTTTCGTGAACTAGTTTCTTATACTCAAAACGAGTAAATAAAGTTAAGGAAATGACAGATGTGATATTATTCCTAATATATTAAAATTCATAAATATTGTTAGTCATATTTTACATTGCATTATTGTATAACTGGAATTGTTTCCACTCAAGAATCAGGGACGCAAGCAGTAGGTCAAGTTAATCAAATATACATAACCATAATTCAACCCTCAGTTGGGCGACATATTAGGCAATATTATATTATACGGCGACCCTGCCAGAACTTTATCACCAGTTATCAATGCATATTAGATTACACGAATTTTTAAATGCTCATCAAGTATGATAGAAATTTACGTTAGTACCAAAATTTTGGATAATGTAGATGACAGCACAATAATACTACCTAGATGTGAAGTCTACAGAGCAGTTTAATATTTTCAAACGCTAAAGGTTAATAGAGTAGTAGAACAAGTGGAATAATCATATCTAAAGCGATAATATCGAGAAATAACCTGTAAATCAAAATTTTAAATACAACTTATGAAACTTATCGATTAGGTATCTGTGAGTCTGGTTGTTCTAAGAAAGGTGCTAAATTCTATTAAGCGTATTCCCATTTCAACTTTAATGATTTTTGCACCACATCGGTGACTTTGGTTTTCTGTCTTATCCATGTGTTTGTTTTCTTGTCCTTAAGTGATATACCTAGCATATTTTGCACTAAGTATACCAATCTAACAAAATATTAGCTTCATTTGTAACAATGTTCTATTAACTTTATTTGTAACAAAGGCAAGAACATTTTTGTGTAAAAAATTTCATCTTAGATGTAACACAATCCATCACATTAAACATATTTGCATGTTAAATTTGATGTTTCAAATATAAAGCTTCATATATAAAATAAATACTTAACAATCTTTTGTGGATTTGAATTTTACTTACCTCCGTAAGTTGGGTTACTAATTCTACAGTTATAATGGAATAAAATTCTAAACGCCTTGTTTTTTTATGTACAATTTTAATAAAATCTACTGGGTCCAGCTCCTCGTTTTTTTCTGGCCATACTTTACAGACTGTCTAAAAATTAAGAAAATATTTAACAATAGAAATTCATAGAACATATGCAAAATACGTTTTAACTACTTTTAACAATATTTATAATTATCTAGTATATATATATATATATATATATATATATATATATATATATATATATATATATGTATAACGAATAGTGTATACTGAGAAAAAATGATTTAACAGTGATAAAAGGAATATTTTTTTACCTCATCTTTGAGGTCGATAGTATTTAGGGATATAATCACATTACACGACCTTTCTAATACCATTCGCCAAAAGTCTCCAATCGTGTTAGGCATAGGTTGTTGTGTCACTATGTATCTTCCAGGATTTCTGAAGTCGTCCACCAAAATGGCGTTGATGTACGAAGAAGTCTCATCATCGTGAGGATATCGAGTGACAAATACTCTGTAATGTTCTATAAACCAAAAAAGATTAATTTAAGGTAAAATATGTGTCAAACACTACATGTAAGCAAAGATGTATGTATATATGTAAGAAATTCCTACCTGGAACAATATTTTTAAACCTATTTTTCTCATCGTAAATCGGTGCTACTTCTTCATTATCTAAAATAGTCTCCATAGCTGAATCCTGCCATTGAGTTTCTTCAATATATTTCATTTGGGTTCTAATGCCGTTATTGCTAATAGTATTTTCTACGATAGTGCGCATGTCATCGTTACACATAATTGAAGTACGCATGCCGAAAAGGCATTCTAGTACTACCAAATGTGCCAGTTTGTATTGCTCAAGATTATCCACAAGATTCGACCTTTGGTCCCGAATAACCTCTAGGTAAGCCAAAAAATCTACAGAATTTTCCGCAGCACCCATGCGGAGAATAATGTCACTTAGAATTATTGTTCCTGTTCTGCCAACACCTGCACTAAAAACAAAAAGGAACCATTACACTAGGGAACAAATTAAATGTTTTTTTATAATATTCTGTACTAATTTAGAGTAATATTTTGTAGTCACTAAATATAAATCTAAAATATAATTTTTTATATTTGATGTTTTATGTATACAGGGTGATATTTATTCAGATTGTCAACTCTCTGAGTTGTAGATTATATACCTCAAAATATGATGACTCTGCATAAAATGACCTATACAAATATTGTAGCATTTCCAAATTCTTTGAAATATTGGAATCCCCTCGTATATGTAATAAATTGAAATCCCCTTATATATGCATATAAATACGAAGAATTTTTTTCATGTTTCTTAGTTCGTATCTTTCAAGTTAAAATATAAATATTATTTCGTTCTTTGCACGTCGCCAAGTCGATAATAAATCATTTTATAGTTTGTTTATGAAACAGGCGCAAATTCTTCGATATTATTCTTTGCTTTAAGCCGCCCGATGTACTGCGTTCTAATTCCTGTCAAGTGTTTGTTATTACAAGTTATGTGAATTGATTTTAAAGATAATTTCATCACTTTCGTTGGAGCTACGGAGAAGAGCGGTGGTCTTTAACGTTATGGCCAAATTTTTCATCTAATTTGAAGTGTTTCTTTGTTTTTCGTCTTACGTTATGGAAGATTAGTAGTTTTGTGCAGTACGTGTTACGTTACGTGCAGTTGTTCCAGTTTTGTAAAAATAAGCAGCTGATTTGTTTATTCCTTATCTATGTTTATCCCCGGCTGATCGACGTTTCGGATCATTGAAGTTCAAGATTTTAACATGGGTTGGTATCATCGATCAAAAAGACAAAAGGGGAAATGTAAATGTAGTGGAGGCAAAAATATTGTTAGACAGAAAGTGCGATCTTTAGAGGCCACATTAAACAAGGAAAGAGAGTCACTCTCCTTGTTTGACATCAAATTTAGTTGGGTTATGTTATTGTTTGTCCCAAATGTCGCATGAAATCTTATTTATATTGAAGTTTTTTAACAATTGTGTCGCATTTTAGACTATTATCGTTAATAATTATTTAAAACTTTCTCGTCTAAGGCACATTCTGAAAAATATTATATAGTTACTGTTAATAAGTGTCGGAAAATTTAAATTTGGCGCATTCGCATTTCCGGATATGTCCGCCATCAGAGGCCACTTTTTTGGTCTCCTTTTCATAAGGATTAGATTCCCTCTTTTGTCTTTTTGCTCGATGGTTGGTATACAAGAAAAAGCGACAGACGCTTTTTCTTGTATAGAAAGATTTAGAGTTTGTCGCTAAAATCCAATATCTTTTAGAAGTCTGTATTAAGTAGAAAGAGACAACGGCTGTATATTCTCATGACCTTGTATGAAGTTATGTATATGCTTTAAGAATGGCGGCAAATTTTTCATAAAAAATTCACAATGAACAATTCTCCGTAGAATACTTCTTACACCCTCGTCATATGTGAATATTCTAGAATTTGATTGACACACTCGTTTTTTACGTTTTTTTGTAATTGTAAATGCTTCTTTCGCTAACACGTAATCAACGAAGTACGTCTTACAGCAGCACTTACATTAAGTTGTTCCGTATTTTGTAAAAAACACAACACATTTAACATTACGAGTTTAGCGCAACCGTTAAATAATTCACCGGATTTAAACTTATGGGACTCCATGCTCTCTGTTGAAACTCGGACTAAATTTTGAAGTGTACTTTCGTTTTCCAAAAGCACTTTCACCCCCTGCCCATCCTTAGGATGGGTAGGGGGTGAAATAGGGAAAGCTTGGAGTTTATCAAATACTAATTATGACAAACAAGTTTATGGCCATATTTAGGTGATTATGTTAATGATAGTAATTTATAGCAGAAGTTTTACAAAAGAAATGAAGACCTATTTATAAAAACAACATAACTGTATTTTTAATATTTTACATACAATAGAAAAAATCTAATTTCTATCAAAGAATTGTAAATTTAAATATTATATATAATATCTGTAAATAATATCATTTCCAAGTTTCCAAATTCTTTCCTAGAAATTATGTAGGTTTTTTCTATTTTATGTAAAACATTAAAACTACAGTTATTGTATGTTGTTCTTGTAAAGAGGTGTTCAAATGTTACTCTTATGAATATGATTCAATTGTATATCTCATGTTGACGTTTTATATGCAAAATTCATAGTTTTCGTTGTCAATAACTCATTAAAACCTTTTTATTCTACTGTATACGTATACATGATATAAAATATTTTACTCGTACTGCCGGCAGATACATTTTATCCAAGCTGGTCCTATGAGACAATGAGCAATCAACAGCTGAAGAAAACCAATAACCCTGCGCGTTTATTGTCCATAAGAAAAGCATTGCCGTATCTTACCCGTACTGCACTCTCAGTGTGACATTTTCTATAGTTATGGTTATTAATTATTTAGAGGTGTAAGTTAGTTGAATGTACTGTACTATAAAGACCTATACATACCTGCAATGTACTATCATTGGTGACTGAGGACTATAGGGTATTTTTAAAATTTTTTGTAAGAACGGCACTAAACTTTGAGAGTACAATGGAACTCCATGATCAGGCCATGTCGTAAAATGCAGTTGTGTGATCTAAAACATAGAGAGATAAGATAAAGCAAGTAGTACAAGAATATTAAATAATATTGGTATTTTTTAGAGAAATAATATGCTAGAATTAAACTTCTTATCAATGATACTAGCTACATAAGCTGAAGGTTTGATTCCTGGCACAGACACCTAGACACCTGATATTTCTAATTTATTTGTGCCACCACCGTGCTATCGACCACGTAAAGCCGTCAATCGTGGCTATATCTGTTCTATGGCCATTCTGTTCCTTTCCAGTATCCATCTGCTGCAATCTAATATCGTAAGTGTCACATTCTCCGAGTATTCACAGTATAGACATTCATCTAGGAACACTGTTCACCTAGACTACCTGACTTAACAAGTAAAGACAAAGACATTACTTGCCTTAAAAAGGAGGGATACTTCCCTTAGCCTTATAAAATACATAAAACTAAAACAAAAACAAAAAAGTTTCCAGAAAGTAAAAGGAATGGGCTGCATGATAAATTACTTACAATATCTGAAGGAAATTCATAAAAAGGTTAAAAAAACTGGTTCATATTTCTCTTCGTTTTTGTGACTATTTATATTTATTCATATCGTGTCGATAAACAGGAAAACAGGGGAAAATGTTTATTTTACTAGTATTGTTGTTGAAAATAAACTAATTATTTATAACCTTCGTCTGCAGATGGATGTTTCCCTAAGTTGTCTCGTGGTTAAAATAGCTTTATTCTTCAGTACTCTTTCAGCAACATCAACTGCTTTTTTTAACTGTTTTTTGTTTTACTTATAAAGTATATATTTGCATTTTAAAGCGCGTGGTCTAAGATTTATTTATTAAGAGCGGTTTCAACATCCTATCTCCTGTTATATTGATACAAAGTATGTAATAATGTAACTCGAACTTTACTTTCTTTATGTCTACTTGTAGTGTTTTCATCCTTTGCGATGTAAGTACGGTTAGGCATCCTTTTTCAATAGAGTCCCGTTTCATCAGCGTTAAATACTTAATCGACACAATAGTCTCCATCTTCAATAATTTTCGCTAGCTCCTGTGGAAATATGTTTACTGCTGCTTTATCTGCTGTAGCACTCTCTCCTGTGATCTTGATATTATGAAATGCATATCTTTTTATAAACCCTTTTACCCATCCTTTGCGAGCTGAAAATCTTTTACCAGATTGGGAAGAGGAAGTTGGTCTCTTTGACTGTTTCATTAACTCATAAAACTAAAGAGCTTTTTCCTAGATTAAATAACCACTGACAGAAATTCTTATTTGAGTTAGTTCCTTAATCCAAATTGCGATGGCTCTTTCTGTTCTTTCTAATAATACATTCATTGAGTAAGATGAAAATTTGGCGCCTAATTGTGTACCAGAAATTATAGATTTTCTTATTCTTATTCCTCTTAATTGCTCTTACAATTGATTTCCCTAAATTAAAATGTTTCCTAGTTGTTGTAAATCCTTCTCCTTTTCCTAAGCGACTTAAAATTGCATTTTTTTCTATTGGCCAAATAAAATCTTAAAAAAAAACAAAAAAAATTAGACTGACCACATTGAGCTGGTAAAAACCTGTTCTAATGAAAAATAAAACTAATGACACTCACTTGAAATCTTTTAATTCGATAAACGTGCTGCTTATTATATTGCAATTTGAAATCAGCAAAATTTTAAACAACTTATTATAAAACGAAGCACCGCTAAGAGAAAAATTATCTTAAAACAATAACAGGTTATACCTTTCAATGCGAAATTTGCAATGATGTAATAGGGACATCATGTGAGAAGGAAATCCCCGAATTGCAAACGCTTTCTTTACTGACATCTGGATGTTTGTCTGGATGAAATTTTTGAATGAAATACAAACCGCACAACTTTAAAATTGCACAAAAACAATCAACATAAAATATCTTACTGTATTAACCACAAGTTTGTAACGATGTGCTGAACGTTCAACATTCGAACCGGGGGAGTGTCGATAATCACGCATCCACTTCCACGACGAGACGACTAGGTGGGGCCCGGAGCGGCTACTAGGCTCCCTGGTTCGCTAGTGTATTGAATCTGCGAGCCAACCGGACAGAGGGACATCCACAGTGAGGATTATGCTCTGTCCTTAATCAAGCAGAACCCGTGGGTATCGTGAATTAAACGTTACCTTCAACTCTGACTCGGAGTATAACGTGGATCTGCACAAACGAATATTTTGATTGCGAGTGCGTTTGGCGCTTCCGCTGGACTGAGATGGAAGCGAGTATAAGTTTGCGTGCGATAGAATTCGCGTATTTCATTTTTTGTTTATTTTAACCTGTGTTTTACTGAGTCTGTCGCTTCGAAAGAACTACCCATCGCAATTTAGCAAAAATTTTATTGTTATGGTATAATAGCATCATTTTTTTGAATTTATATGAATTGAATGAAACTTTCATTACCTTTCTTTGTTCGTTGTTATGTGAGAGTGTAAACATCCTTTCTTCAAAGTTTGCATGAACTGAAGAGGACACGTAGTGAACTTTAAAATCTCCATAATGTTTGTCTTCATTTATTTCTGGCCAATATTTTTCGACTTTTTTCTAAAACAGTAAGAAAAATTAATATACATAATACATACATTAATATTGTGTAAAATCTAAACAAAATTTTGTGACAAATAAAAAACAGAATGTACTACAAGGTTCTAATCCAAGATATAAGGCATTTAGTCCAAAAAAGCATACTAGAAACAAGCATAAACATTTATATCACAGAAAATAATAGAATCGAAGAAATTTTGGCAACAATTAAATCAAATATAAGATAACTTAAAGCATTTTATGTTCCGGTATACGTTTGTTAAAAGTTCAACCAGTTTGACCTATGTAGATTTTTGGGCAGTCGCTACATTTAGGTTTGTATACACCACTGTGTAAGTGCTTTTAATTTTTAATAATTTAATTAATAAAATTTACATCGGTCAAACTGGTAGAACTTTTAACAAATGTATAGCACAACATAAAAGGGCTTTCAATCGTAGAAAAACAGATTCTAACGGACATACCAGACATAATTCTGACCAATCAACTTGAGACAAACAGTGCTCCTTTCTTCAATCTATTCAGTAAAAAACTATAGTCAGTTTCAGGCAGTTTTAGGTCGTATAGACCAGAAAGATACACATGTAGAGCAAATTTAAACAGACCAGCAGGATTAAATAAAATGATAAATCGCTCATTTTTAAAATCTAATAAAAGTAGAGTAGATACGATATGTAATAAGTGACACTTACCTTGCCATTTTCGTATATATTGGCCAACATTATTATATCCCTTACGTTTTTCTGCCATACCATCATCCAAAAATCTGTTAGAGTATTAGCTTTCGGCCCTTGGGTAGCTATGTATGCTCTTCGTTGTCGGTAGCCCTAAAAATGAATGGAATCAACGTCAGTGTAAATAAAGAATAATTAAATCTTCGTCCTTCAATGGGCCCTCAAATAAAAATTTCCGTATACTGCAAGTATACTTAGATATCATATAACATGTTTGTATTTATACTTAAGAAAATATATTTTAACTTTTAACTGATACCAAACTTTTATAAAAATTTTAAATAACAAATTAACAATAAACTCCAGAAGACTCCAAGTCTACGCTAGTCACCAGACACCTGGAAGATCATCGCCGTTGTGATATTCATATTCATAAACCCCAAAATCCTCTGAGTAATGACTTTGGACCAATTTCGAATAAAAATAATATAAAACTTCAGAAAAAGAGGTTTACCTTGGGTACCAGATTGCTCAAGGATCATCGCCGTCATAGGATTTTTGTTGTACGGGCTCGAAAATCACAAAGTAATAACTTTTAACTAAGTTCGGATGAAAGTAAGATAAAACTTTAGAAGATGAGGTCCATCCTGGGCACCAGGCAGTTCGAGGAGCATCGTCGACATCATATTCGTGTTCAGGGACCTTGAAAAGCCTTAAGTAACAAAATTAAACTCATTTCTGTCGATATTTCCTTTGTTTCAAATTTTTCAATTTTTCACAAAATGTAATTTTCATTTTATTACCATGAATTTTATTCAGAAAGTTTCATGGCACTTTCTCGAACCGAACGCAAAAGGTTTCCCAGCAATTCGTCTTGCTACGGAAAATTGGTAGGTTTAGTACTTTGTTTCCTAGCCTATAAATAACTTTGTTAACGTTTGAAACAGAACTGCTATTTTATCTGTAGCTTTTCTCTCCAAGCCTCAAGAATGTGTGTCTCACGACAAATTTCTTTAAAACATTTTATGTATCTTTAACCAAACTTTTCCAAGCTCCTATTTAAAGTTTTAAAAATCATTATTTTTACATTTTCATTATCATTATTTAGAGGACCAGATACTAAAACACTTTTATTCCTAGCTTTACAGAACGAAATGAGAGTCATCAGTAGTTCTCTTTCGTTAAACTATTTTTTCTGAGAGATAATTTTGGCTTTCGAACATCATGATTTGCAACTTGTACGTTTATAGTGTCCTTGTTGCTATTGTGATGATATTTGCGAGTGACGTGAGCATTTCTTCTTCTTCTTAAGGTGCCTGTCGTTTTAGAATGTTGGCGATCATTCTGGCTATGATGACTTTGTTGGTTGCTATACGAAATAGCTGTGTTGAAGTCTTTCTATACCATGCTCTCAGGCTAGCAAGCCAGGATATTCTTCTTTGTCCAGGGGCCCTTTTTCCTACAATTTTGCATTTCAAAATGCATTGGAGTAGCTCATATATGTCTTGATTTTACATTATATGTCCCTGCAGTATACGACCCTTCACGATGTTGACAAAATCCGCGGTTGTGGTAATCCTCTGTAGTACTTCTTCAATGGTGATTTTGTCTGTCCATTGTATCTTTAGGATCCTTCTGTATAACCATAGCTCAAAAGCCTAAAATGAGCATTTAACCTAGGTTAAATGCTATTTAACGTTACCCATACTACTTTACAGTGGCGCAGCAACAGAAAACAGGACCAAATAAGGTGTAGCCTTACTAATACACCAAAAGCACCAAAATTACATCAGAGTGTTATTAGATATCAGAAAGAATAGTAACGGTAAAGATAAAAATAAAAAAAGAAGACCTAAACATCACCGCAGTATACAGTCCAGAAAATAACAAGCCTCAAACAACAAGTAAAGCGTTTTACGACCAACAAGTAGTAGATTAAGTCAGAGGAAAGATGATAATCTTGGGGAATTTTACCGCTCGAATAGGCAATCAAGTAATACCCGGCAATAAACAAAAACAACACGTTTTTTGATCACAAAAACCAACACAAATATACATTTAATAACATCAAAAAAGAACACCATGGTTTAAAGAGGAAGTGAAGACAAAATGTGGAGAGAAGAAGAAAGCCTTTTTACAATACAGAACACAACAAACGCAACAGGCATACAACCACTATAAACGAATCATAAATAACACAAATACTTTATTTAGACAAACAAAAAAGGAACACTGGCAGAGTTTCTCAAAACAGTTGGAACACGACTTCTACGGAACACAAAAATAAATATGGAGAATGATTAGAGGACAAAGAAAATAGATGAACGAACTAATAAAAACGAAACACATTCAGAAGGAAACATGAGTAGACTACTTTCGATTCCTATTTTCTAATAACACAACACTTATCAATATTCAATTTGAATTAATTTAGTTTGCACCAATCGCGAAATCTGTTGAGATCCTCTTGTAGCTGAATTTGATCATACTGACAAGTAATGACTTTATAATGTGACCTTCAGAGAGTACGTCAACAGATTGAGACAACACACCATTTATCTTAATGCTGTGGGTGTTACCCACAAAAAAACTATCATACCAATCAAGCCATTTTCCAGCTATACCAATGGCTCCTAATTTACTGAATAAATAACGATGATTTGAAATCATGAATGTGTTGCTTGTGTGAGTCCATATCAAATAGGTAAAGAAATAATAATAAGACTTACTCACAATCAATTTAATTTAACAATCTGACGACCGGTTTCGCTTTCTATAATTTGCAAAGCATCTTCAGGTCGAGATACAAAGTTAAACTAATGCTGCAATAAAATAAACCCAATTAGGGTGGTGTCTCATAAAGATAAAATAAACAAATAAATAAATTAGTTCATACAAATTATAGTAATTATGCCAATATTACATGTCTGTGGTTTTCAAAATGAATAATTTGAATATATAAAAGGTAGTAACAGACAAGGTAAGGCCCACAATTGGTATAAAGTAGCAATCTTTTGTTGTAATAAATTAATAAATGAGCAAATAAATAAAACAAACAAACATTACTTACATGCCGGTACTCTATTAATTAATGGATGGTAGGTCATGGTTGCAAAAATCATGTATTGTTGATTGGAGAACTTTAATGAGCTATTGCAGTTGTTTTGACAATAAACGGGAAGTTCTTGAGGAGAACAGATTTGATCCAATGAATTAGAGATAGGTATATTGTTGTTGTTTGTCAGATGAAAGTGATGTTCTTTACTATTGTATTAATATTGTATTGTATTAATACAATAGTAAAGAACATCACTTTCATCTGACAAACAACAACAATATACCTATCTCTAATTCATTGGATCAAATCTGTTCTCCTCAAGAACTTTCCGTTTATTGTCAAAACAACTGCAATAGCTCATTAAAGTTCTCCAATCAACAATACATGATTTTTGCAACCATGACCTACCATCCATTAATTAATAGAGTACCGGCATGTAAGTAATGTTTGTTTGTTTTATTTATTTGCTCATTTATTAATTTATTACAACAAAAGATTGCTACTTTATACCAATTGTGGGCCTTACCTTGTCTGTTACTACCTTTTATATATTCAAATTATTCATTTTGAAAACCACAGACATGTAATATTGGCATAATTACTATAATTTGTATGAACTAATTTATTTATTTGTTTATTTTATCTTTATGAGACACCACCCTAATTGGGTTTATTTTATTGCAGCATTAGTTTAACTTTGTATCTCGACCTGAAGATGCTTTGCAAATTATAGAAAGCGAAACCGGTCGTCAGATTGTTAAATTAAATTGATTGTAAGTCTTATTATTATTTCTTTACCTATATAACGATGATTTGCTTTATCGAATGCCTTTGAGAAGTCAGTATAGATGCTGTCCACATGGTACTTCGTCTCGAAGACACCCAGTATATCATCTTGGTAGACCAACAAGTTTGACACTGTGCTCTTCCCCCTTTGAAAGCCATGCTGTTGGGGTATTATTATATTATTTGTTAGTTTTGGTAAGTGAGAAGTCACTAGCTTGTCGAGAAGTTTTGGGATTGCTGACTGTATACAAATTCCTCGGTATTTTCCAATATCTTTCCTTTTACCTGACTTAAAAAAGGGTACAATATAACTTCCAGACAGAAAGGAACTCATCAGTCATAAGAGATAAATTATAAAGATATTTTAGGGGCATAGTAAGACAGCCTATCAGGCCCCAATGGAATTTCAAGTATGTTATTATACAATATAATTACTTACATCGATATAGTTTGCATTTATGTAGTCAGACTGGTTATCTCCTGGAGATCGTTTAAGTTTTACCCTTGAATGGTCATCTGAAGAAAAAAAAATACAAATATAAATATTATTCTAAATTTATAATTTAAAATTATTTCTATGATTTTAAATTTTAATCTATCCTTTTCCTTTCGGAAATCAGCATCTTTTACAAAGTATCTTGATAAAAATAAACCGTAATTTTCAAATACTTTCTTTATTTGATGTTTAGATCAGTGGCGGCTCGTGGCTTGAGAGACAAGATCGGTAAGGTATTTTTTGTCTCCTCAGATAGGTATACCGTCTAATAAAGACTTCAATTATTATAGGAGATTTTTTGTTTTCTTGTTTTTTGTTTTTTTTTTTGTTTTTTTTTTTTGTTTTTTTCTATAAATTTAGAACCTAAACATGTTTATAAATTAACTCTAGTCTACGTTGTTTGGAAGTAGCAAAATGGGTAATAACGTCATCGTAAAATTTATTAGAGTTTTGGAGAGATTTTAAAAGTTTTTTTTCTATTGACATTTAAGACAAGCTTGACATTCTCACTTGTTTCATGCTATTTCGACAATAAGTTTTGATTCTTTTGATGCAAGAGAAATCTCGTGCATTTGAGGCAGACGTTGGTGGTAATGAGAGAATTAATGACAATAATTTATTAATTTCGGTAACAGTTTGTTGTAATGAATTGCGGTATATAAAATTATACATATCTTGTAACTTATCCCATCTTCCGAAAATATTTGGATCAGCATATAAAACTTTTAATTCATTTTCTAATTTTATTTTATTAAAGAATGATGGATAATTTTTAATTAACCTGTCTAATAAATATCTTGTAAATTCTTTGGCGTAACTTTTAAATTTTGAATCGTCAAAGAGATCAAAAATTTGCAAATCTTCAAAATTCGAAAAACGAGTATCTATTTGCATAATAATAGTATCCAAAAATTCAAAATATACTCGTTTTTCGAGATCTGTTTCTGTGTCATGCCTTTGTCTTTTTTTTTGGGGTTCAGAAATATCAAGCGGGTCCAAAACGTCACTGCGTATGTACTGGAAATTACTATCATTACGAAAATCTCTGAGATTTTGCACCAGTCTTGTTATTCTATTTTTGGAATGAACAATGTCAGTTAACTGATTTTGAACAACATTGAATATCAAATCGGTTTGAGTAAACAATTTCTTAAAAGTATTTAAGAGTATGTTAAAAGAGTAATCATTTAATAAAGTTTTCAAACCGATTGCTTCACGGATCGAGATATCATCGATAATAATAAAATCAAAAACTTCCAAAAGCTGTTCAAGAAAATCTGTTACAGTGAAAACTAACCGAGATTTAAAATTCCATCGCGTTTGACAAACTGTTGGCATTTTTTTCGAAACAATCCGTTCTAAAACATTAGTCCGTTTAGGCGAGCTTGAGAAAAATGAAGCAAATCCGCTTAAAATGGCAAAAAAAAGACGACATTCTTTAATTTTTTACATGTATCTTGCAAAACTAAATTCATTCTATGCGCACGACAATGAGTAAATAAAGCTTGCGGTGCAATAGTTTTAACTTTTGCCTGGAGACCATTTAATTCACCAGACATAACGGCAGCGCCGTCATAAGTTTGCCCTACCAATTTATTTTTGATATCAAAAAATTTTAATCTGTCCTTTAAAACACCAAAAATATGTTCTGCCGTATGGCTTTTACTAACGTCTGTAAAACCTAAAAACCTGTCATAGATATTACCACGTAACGCGTATCGAACAACAATTGATAATTGTGAATGACAGATATGTCGGTAGTTTCATCTACTTCTAGTGAAAAGCAAATGGTTTCCTGAATATCAGATTTAATAACGTTACTCAAAATGTAACTAATTGATTCTATTAATTCATTCTGGATTGTTTTAGATACACCGTTAAATGTCTTTGAATCAGAAAGTAATTTAGAAAATTCCAAATCGTATTTCTTAAACATTTTTATTAGTTCTCTATAATTACCTTGATTTAACGAATGCTCATAATTCAAAAAACAATTTAAAAAAATTACAATATCAATTAAACGACGTAAAACTGCGTGATTCTTTTTTACAATTTCGTTATGTTTAATAGCATTTTCACGTTGGGCATTATCTAATGAAACATAGATATTTTGTTTTCCAAATAAATCTAATTTAATCTGGCTGTAAGTACGATCTTTTGAAATATCATGTTTATGTAAAGCCCTAAATAATTCCTTTAAATTATCGTAACCAGATTCACACTACGGATTTTGATGTTTGCCCCTATTTGTCGAAAATAAAATGCAAGGCCAACAGAAAAGTTTGTTTTTTATTTCACTCCCGGTAAACCTTGAGTACTTGCTGTACCAATTATCTGAAAATGATCTATTACTTCCCTTACCCGTACTAATATTTATAAGCCGGGACATTTTAGGCAAAGGACGCCCCTTATTTTTAATAACAATTTGTTCTTCGTATGGAATAGATGAAAACCCATTATGCAAAATATAATTTACAATATCAGACTTATCAATACTTACAGTTTCTTCCATGGCTTGCATTTTTTAGGTTAATTTACCTGAATTTGTTTACACTTTAATTAAAAAAAAACTTCTAATATGTCAAAAAACCCTTTAACCGTTAACTATTTACGGCAGACGTAACGTATCACAGTATTACTTTAGAAAATAAAAATAAATCACAAAAAGAAAGGCTAGTTCGTGCACTGAATATCACTTCACAGGAACGTAGATTCCTTGTGGACTTCACTTTACTACATATATGAAATAACATTTCGTCCCACGCTCACAATGTACAGTTCGCGACCAATCACCAATCCAAATGTAACATCGGCAAATTTAAATTCGCCGTACTTGGTAATTAAGTTCATATGGAAAGAAATGTATATTTGGTTGCTAATCAACCAATATTCCGTTGATTTTTATAAGTCTCAAGGTTGGGATCGGCTAGCCGAAAAAACAAAACGTGCCTTTTTAAGAATTCATAGGCGGATGAATGTCTCCGCTCCGATATCGAATAATCTATTTTAAAAGTGTCTACGCAGGGATCACTTAACGCTCAGATGGGACGAATTCTTTTAAAAACCATGAATAAAATTTAGTCTGGTCGAATTCTTTTAAAAACCATGAATAAAATTTAGTCTTTATTATCTCACAGATATTTTTTTAGTTCACAAAAACAAATGACATCAACTGATTACCTGCCACCAACAACTGTTTTATTTTTAACCAACGACTTTGTTCTTGCTGTTATTGAAATACAGTGGTACCTCGACATACTAGTGTAATTCGTTCCGTAATATTGTTCGTATATCAAATTGCTCGTATGCCAAAGCAATTTTCCCCATTAAAATTAACTGAATTGTTATTAATCCATTCCAGTCCCCAAAAAAACACGTTAATCGTTTTTGTTCAGTGTTTTTAAATAAGAAATTGTATTTAAAAGAAGAAACATTTATTTATAAGTAACAAAAAATACATACATATTCTGTAAAAGCATAAGAAAAAGTGAAGGGCTCACGGAAGCGCTTTGCTAATTTCATTTGCGTTGTCTTGTAGAGACAACGTCTTCCAATTCTTCTTCAAAACTAATTTTTCGTTGAACCACCGTATGCTGCTGCGAATGTAGTTCGTCTAACTTCTGGGTTGTCACTCCTGAGACTGTTCCTCGACCAGTTCGTTTACATCTCTTTCATCCACCTCCAGACCCATGGATTTTCCAAGAGAAACAACCTCATCTACCACTGACAGTTCGAGTTCCAGTATTTCGCAGGCCCTTTCATCCACAGCCTCAGGCTACAGCTTCTTCCATGCAGAAATTAAGGTCCTTGTTATAACACCTAGCCAGGCCTGGTCAATAATTCTTAGGTATATTACTATGTTAACGTGGTCCATCCAGAACTCTTGAAAGGTAAGGTTTGTGGTCTCCGTCACCTCAAAGCAGCGCCGAAAAATGTGATTAAATACAACTTCTTAAACTTAGAAACCACTTGCTAATCCATGGGCTGCAAGATGGGAGTGGTGTTGGCTGGTAGGTAGAGAATATTTATAAATTTGAACTCTTGGAGGAAATCATCTTCGAGATTTGGTGAGTGAGAAGGGTTATTATCGGGTACAAGAAGGATTTGCATGGGTAGGTTATTTTGCTGTAGATATTTTTTAACAGAAGGGGCAAACACCAGGTTTATTCACTCCACAAAGAATGTCCTAGTGATCCACGCCTTTGGATTTGCCCTTCACATAACTTGAAGTTTTTCTTTTAAAATCTTATGTGACCTAAAGGCTCTGGTATTTTCTGAATGGTACACTAGAAGAGGTTTGATCTTACAGTGACCACTCGCGTTGGCGCAAAGTAGTAGAAATAATCTATCTTTTATAGGCTTGTGACCTGGCATCGTCTTCTCCTATGCCGGTATGTATATTCTAGTCGGCATCTTATTTTCATTAGCCATTATTCTGTACGTAAATTATTAATATAAAAGTTGATAAATTATCTATTATTACAACCTGGCAACAGTGTTGTCATTAGGCAACTCAATTATCATTTCTCCAAATTGGTTATCTACAATTTTGAGACTCTACTATAGGAATTTCGTAAAATACTATAATTTCTTTATATAAATGATAAGACAGCACAAAAAAGGCAATTTGCTTATATCCAGAAGTAACAGAAAAGAAAATATTGTAGTGTGTTAAGAACTTATGTAGGATTAAACGAGTTTTAAGAATTAAAGAAAACTGTTGTCATATTAAAAAAATGAATGGTACTTACATGCTACCAAATTTTTGTAACGATTTTTAATCTTATTTTCTGACGTCGATCCTACGCTATGAGGTTTTATTAATCCTTTTGGAAAGAGCTGAAAACAACAAATTAACATTAACGCCAAAATATCGTTTGTATTTTAATTTTTATTGTTTAAAACAATGTGGATCCATAGACGAATGATGAAAATACCTTGGACAGCAAGAAAAACTAATGAAGAAGTACTAAGGAGCGTCAAAAAATATAGAGAACTGCTAAAGACTTGTTAAACATCGAAAAATGTCTTATCTGGGACATATAGTAAGGGGAAGTCGATATAAAATATTACAACTTATCCTTAAAGGCAAAATAGAGGGCCGTAGAGGTGCAGGAAGAAAACAAGTTTCTTGGTTAAAAAACATTCGTGAATGAACTTAGATACCAAATGCAGGACAATTATTTTATATTGCAGAAGTTCGAGAAGCCTTCGCAATGGTAATCAATAACGTCGGATAATTCCGATATGGCACGCGAAGAAGAAGAAGCAGTAATGGGAATACCGTGCTTAGACTTTGTCCCTATTATTGTACGTTGAACCCAATAGAGTTAATATGGGCTCAACGTGAGAATATTAAATATTAGGAGAATTAACGTGGCTGCTAAATTTTTGTCTACTGTTCTACAGTTAGCTAGAAGAGAAGTCACAAAGATCACAGCAACCAACTTAAAAAATGTAATCAAGTATGTAATCGAAGTTGAAAATGACTATGTTAAATATTTACCTACATTAACCAAAATAACTATAAATTTAGAAGATACTGGCGATACTAATGATAACCATCGCATACTAGTGATAAATAAGTACATACTTCATTCCAATTAGATGTTAGTTGAAACCTTTATTTTTTTGTAATTGTAGATATTCTCATTTTGATTATATATCTTTGAAAATGGGATACAAATACACAATAGAATTTCTTGATAGGACAAAAAGGTACAAAGTATGTATTTAATTTAAAATAGTTAGGTTAGGTTATTATGAAAAACCTGCTAGAATATGAAAAAATATGTTAATAAAAGTTTTAGACCTCTTACGCATTTTAAAATTATTGAGGAACTAAATGTTCTCTAACATAGTGCCAAACGAAAGTTGTGGTTCTTTAATAGAATACGCTGTATTTGATTTAAAACATGAATTCTCCATTTTTTCTTGGTTATAATACCATAAAATAAACAAATAACCAATAACTATAACATAAAAGTTATCAGGTATAAAATAGGAAGTTTTAATACTTATAAGCAGTTGTGTTAATAAAAAAATAATTATTACTTTTATTAACAATTTTTTATATAGGTAATATTATTTTGCAATAAGCTTTGTTCAGTCAAGTCAACTAGTGTTATCACTACTCACAGAAGTTGATAACACATATATTTCTTATTTAAACTTAATAGAAAATGAAACTTTTGGGTAAAATAATAGTATATTACTTTATGAGGCGGAGAAGCATGACTTTTCTTGACGCGCCCGATATTACGCGCCGAACGAAGTGAGGCGCGTAATAGAGGGCAAGTCAAAAAAAGTCGCTTCTTTGCCGAATAAAGTATACTATTTTTTCTTCAAACGTAGCAATTTTCAACCATAAATAGTACAATTCATACGCTATTTTTACTCAGAACCAAACTGAAATCACACCGAATTATACCATTTTTTAGGTCAAAAAAAAATTATAAGTTGTAAGAACAGTTGTTTGTTTGTTTAATTTAATCATAAAATTTATTTTTAATGATTTAATGATTTTTTAAATAATAATGTAAATTACGTTGTGGCAGTTAAAATATTATAAAAACATGGACAATTAACAACATTTGTTTCATTCTATGTATTATAACATTTTCGGATATGCAAGTTGTAATACTAGTAAAATTTTAAATTCAAAATTTTAGTGACTTTGTGGCAGTTCAAAACAGCAAAATATGAAAAAATTTATTTTTACAAAAAAAATTGTTTTCCTACTCCACATGTTTATTTGGATTGCAAAATCTGAAATTAAAATATTTTTGAATTTGGTATACAAATCGACCTATCTTATAGTTTATTTTTATGAACGAGAGAGTAATTAGCATAATTTTAATTGGTACTTCCGGCCACTCCATGGGCGTGCTCAAGATTAATTGAAAAATTACTTTGAATAATTGTAAAAAATAAATGAATTATTTCAGTGTTATAAAGTGTTATGTGTATGTAAACAAAAGTGACCTCTTTTATCACAAACTATATTAGAACTGACTGGCCTACATTAAAAAGGGTTTTAAAAAATTCAGATTTTGTTTAATTTTTAAAAATTACAAAAGAGAAAAAGAGTTTTTAAAACCGTCTAAGGTATGTTAAATAAATGAATAAAAATAAATATAAAACTTAAAGCTACTTGTTACAAATCCAAATCAGATTCAGAAGATGAACTTTCAGAACCAAGATTTATAATAACTGGCTCGACCATTTTATCAGTAGGTAATATTGTCCAGCTTCCACATTTTTTCCTCTTCTTTAATAGTGTGATTTACTGCCTTTTCCCAGTTTTCAGGTTTTACATTATTTACGGCCTCCAAAAACAACTGTTTAACATCGTAAATTTTAAAAGTGGTATTTTTTCTTGAAACTTCACTCTTTATCTGTGCCCATACCAGTTCAATCGGGTTTAATTCACAATGATATGGTGGGGATCTAAGTACTGTCATTCCACGATTTTTGGCAATTTCATCAATTTCGTATTTTTAAAATTTTTCTTTATGAAGGGCACACAACGAATAAAGTTCCTTTTTGATAGATCAGGGATGGTACGTAATATTTTTTGAACTCAGCCAATTCTTCAAGTCTTTTTTTAACCACTTGGTTGTGGGCAGTCCTTCTATAAGTCTGGAGTGATAACTTGCATTATCCATTACTATTACACAGTTCTTAGGAAGAAGATCTATCATTTGTTCGAACCATTCTTGAAAGACATCAGCGTTCACGTCTTCATGGTAGTCACCGGTACGAGTTGATTCAAAAGTTAATAAACCACCTTCAACAAAACCGTCTGAACTGCCAATGTGTACTATTATTAGCCTGCGTCCCTTTCTTGATGGTGGGTTTAAACCAGTAGATAAGTTATTTACAAAAGCGTGCCTTTGACTTGTAACAGTTTCATCCTGCCAAAATTTATTTGGTGTATGACCCTCGTTGATCCATGTTTCATCAAGATAAAATATTTTTCTTTTTTGGTTTTTCATTTCCTTTATGGTTATTTCTTTTAAAAGTTTTCATAACGTACTTCGACTCATTTCTGGGTAATCATTATCATCTCGAACTGAGACAAGAACTTTATTCAATGTTGGAAATTCTTGTCTAAAGAAGAATTCATGCACTTTCCGTCGAAGTCCTTCTTTAAAATGATATTCTATTTGAAATTTTGGTTTCCCTGGAGCATTACGTGGCATTTGAAAACTACCACATTTCTCTTCTTTAATAACTCTGTAAATCGTAGATTTCCCAACACCAAGTGTACTGCTAACTAACTCAACGGTCTCATCAACACTTTCACATAACCGTTTGTCTGTAAATGATTTAAAACAATTAAATATTAATGTTTTTTCATTAACTGTTAAAGGACCAATTTTTCGGCGTTTACACGGCATTTCCAAATTTTCCATAACACTAGTATACACAATAAACTGCACCTTGCAACTGAAGTACCTACTTTTAGTGAACTGTTAAGAATTTTGAATACGCCACTTGGACCTTCCTACAAAATGGAAAAACCCACTATCACATTTTCTGTGGAATAAGTTTAGAAGGTAATTATCTAGTCAATTACTGTCGTAGATTCCTGGAATTAAAGAATTGAATGTTTGATTGTTGAAACCCTTACTTCGTGGAATGCACTCATTTCAGATAAAATAAAACGTTTTATTTTATCTAAAGAATTAAACTTTATTTTGCAAATAGGTAGGTACTTATTAAACTTTTATTGGTTATATATAACCAATAAAATAAACATCTTACATTTCTTGCAAATTCATTAGTACCTGTTAACCTCCATCACTCCGACACTGGCAACCTTATTTAGGGATTAGTAACCCTCACAACTATTGTATTCTATTCTGCTCCAACCTTTATACCTGGTGGTCATACTCAATTTAAAACTGTTTTCCTATATACTTCTGTAAACTTGTTGACAAATATCTGTTTTTCATTGAGTCACCCGTATCAACAGTTTAGGGATTTGCATACATAATTTATTGTTTTTTGAATTTCGTATACAAATCGACCTATCTTAGTATAGAGCATATTTTGCCTAACGATTTAGTTTTTTTGCAGTCGCTATATGTGTTCCAATTTTGGTTCACCTCAAGTATATCATTTCCTGGGATCACACATATCTGGAAATATTCCCCTATCCACCACCTGAGGAGGCGCCTGATGAGTGAGTAGTACCCCATACGGGCAAATAGTATAGTAATACATTTATTTGTACTTACATCATGTTGTCTCTGAAGCTCTCCGTTTGTAATGGATTCTTTCACATATGTCTCTAAATCGATAATCTTTACTTTTTTTGAATTATTTGTCTTAGGGCCCTAAAATAATCACAATATTATTAAGAATTTCAGAAATTGTAGTTTTATTACCTGTGCCACTTCACTAGGCATCGGTTTGATAACCTTAGGTTTTGGCTTAGTCATTGGTGGGGTATCAGTAAGAACAATCTGATCTTCTGGGGGAAGCTTAGCTGCAAAATACTTGATATTAAATCCCAGCTATGATAGATGCCAGATACGGTGAGCTGGATATAACGAAATCCCGAAAACAAACAAATAGCGATAGATAAAAATGTTTTCTCTATAAATAATACGTAAGTCAGGTATTAGATACCACATCAAACAAAAAAAGGAATGACAATAGACAAACAGAAAAAAAATAAAGATAGCTTTTGGTGTATACAGATTGAACGGATTTAAAACGGATCATACAATTTAATATATGTCTGTTTGAACTACATTTGAAATAGTGGACAAATATAAAACTTGGATAAAAATAAATCCATACTTGGGTATAGACATTGTATAAATTATCGTTCAACTATTCTATTTCGCAACAATGTTGTTTGCGTAAAGGAAGCGATAATAGTTCAGGAAATGAAGCTCGAAAAAAGTTAAGACTTCGCAATTTTTTCGTCCTGCATGGATTGAGTTGAAATTTTAACAGAAGGTAGGTGATAGCCCAAGGATCAAAATCTGTATCGAACCGAAGTGCGCTGAAAGGTTTTAGGGGTGAAAAAATACCCCTAATTTGTTAAAAATTATAAAATAATCTATTAAACCTGAGATATGGGTAAGATTTCGGTTTAAATTAGTTAAATAATGATTATTTTATACTTTTGAATAAAGTTCCATCATATTTTCAACCCTTAAAAAGCAACCCTTGTTAGAGATTAATGAATTAGAGATTAAAAAAATTACTAATTCTAAAAAAGAAATGATTTCGCCTTGGAACGATTTGAATAAAAATTTGGAATTAAGCTCAACTCACCCTCTGCTTTATAGTTTGTCATGCCGACGAACCCTGATTGTTCTTAGGGGTAAAAACTACCCCTAATTTTCAAAAATTGTAAAATAACATTACATATCTTAAGATGAGTGAAATTGGTTTGGATAAGTTAAATAGTGATTTTTTTATACTTTAAAATACAATTTTAAATACGTTTTCAACCCTTAAAAATCAATTGGTATGAATGCTATAGGTAAAAACAATTTTTTGCCAAAATTTTGCAACTTTTCAAGTTTTGAAAATCACCCTTTACAACATTGCAGTTTTTATAAACTAATTTAATAAATATAAATTGAAGAATGTAGAATTAAATACAAAAAAATTTATCAACATAAAAAGGCACCATATATTCTTATACATTTACATAAATAGTTGAAAATATTTACATTTATAGGTAAAACAATTATAATATTAATTTATTCGTCATCAATTACATCTTCATCGTGATCTATGTCATCCTCATCTTCTTCAATTATTGGTGGACTAATATTGCACCCTTCACCTGAGCACCCAGAACAAGTAGAGTTACAGTATAAACCAACTTTTCTGCACCCACATGAAACGCCGCATCCTTTTTTGCATTGGCAAAAAATAATTTTCAAAGAGTTCATCGGGTGCAGGTTGTTTGCTCATGTGTACGGGTAATAACAAACCATCTTTGGAATACCATCCCTAATCTGTTGCTCTGATATTTTCATTGCCAAGCCATAGACATATGAGCAGATGTTTTATTCTTTTGTATGGGATTTCAAAATAAGAACGCTTAAAATTTCGAATGTATAATGCCCCACTACCTAATAAAAAGGTTTTGTAGATTATTATGCTCCGAAATGTAGTGTACTATACTAATGGAATTTTCCGGAAAAAAAATTAATTGGTTTTTTTTACGTATTTCCTTCATTTTTAACGATAGAGTGTTTCTTCAAAAACGATTTTGTAGAGGTTTTTAAGAGCTACAAGAAGCTGTGAATTAAATCTTTTTTAACCCTTGGTTTTTAAATGGGGTGACTTAAAGGGCTCGAAAAAGATGGTGCTTGATCGTAAATCGATGCTTTAAACGGTTATATCTCGCCAAATAGTTATTGTACACAAATCTAAATAAAGGAAAGTTTTAGTCATTAAAAAAGCTACAATTTAGTACATTTTTATTTTTTTCATATATCAGTATTTTCGGGGATATTTAAAAAAAGAAGGGTAAAAAATATGAAATTGTAAATCGTTTCTCGCTTTATGCTGTACTTTTTCTAAAACTAAGCATTTTAAATAGGTCAAACTTCTTGGACGTATTAACAATACATGTAAAAAGAGAATTGCAGAAGGGTGAAGATCGATTTTAATTATGCGGGTGGTTAGGGGGTTTGTTTTCAACGATTTTTTCGTAAAAAATGAGGTATTGACCTTATTTCATCATAACTCACTCAATTTTTGAGCTAAAGTCTTTTTATAATAGGTCTATTTATGCTCTTTAAAAAAGGTTCTGCGAGTTTTCTTCCAAAAATGCATCATTTTCCCGATATTTGACTTTAAATCTTCAAATTTGGCATTTGAAGAAAACCGCTGAACATTGATAGGCCGTATTTCGGTTCCTGTTATATCGCAAAAACATTTTAAAAAAATGAATTGTATTTGTCTTTTTAAAAGCTACAAAGTTGTTCTCGACAATTTTTTTGATAAAATGCACCATTTTCGAGTTATTCGCGAAAATCGATTAAAAACGTCGATTTTTTCGTCTAAAAGTTGTTACTTCAATCGCGAATAACTTGAAAAATATCAGTTTTACAAAAAAAATGTATAGAACATTTTTTGTTTAGAATCACTCTTTCAATCGAAACCTGTAGTTAAAACGTAAAAAAAAATTCACCCTCGAGATGGGGTGGCAACCACCCCCAAGGCTTTGGCGCACTTTGGTTCGATATAGATTTTGATCCTTGGCTATTACCTACCTTCTGTTAAAATTTGAAGTCAATCCACGCAGGAAGAAACAATTGCGAGGTGAAATGCTTCATTTCCTGGACTATAGGTGGTTTAACAGCATAATAAAATCGTAGATTTATGTGTAGCTTTCAATTTTTATGATTTTAGAATCCAGCAGCCCCTGAAGTATTGGATTTTTATAATATAATTATTTGACAACCTTTTGTTGGTCAACCACCTACAGCAGAATTGAGCCGAAATACATAATATTCGTATGTTCCGAGTTTATTTCGTTCAATCTGTATATACAGAAGCGCAGCTATGGAATCAACAGATTTTTTACATGGTAATCTAGGAGAGTACCTTGTTTGAACAGACAGTTGGCTCATATGGACACTGACTAAGAAAATATAGTTATTAGAAAAGGTTTAATTTTAAAAATAATTACTTACGTTGCGGCTTTATCATCTGCGGTATATGTGGATGTTTTTTCTTGATGTACCTGCAAAATGCAAGTTATATTTGTCATCCCATTCAATTAAAAACAATATATGTTACTGTTTAATTGCGTTCATTATCATATTAAATATAAAGTGACCATTAAATAAATTTAAAGTCTTAACTTGTAAAAGTTTGTTTTAATTTTATTTTTTTCAGATTTAAAATTATACTGATAACCTTGCGTGCGATCGCCATGTATACAGCCGTCTGTTTGGTAACTTGAAAAATGTGTTTGTAATAATAAAGTTCTGCTCTTGGCAGAATTGTAACAGACGGTCTCTTCTCTCGTTAAGATTTCCCAGACCATAGTTTCCTATACACTTTCCGCTTTGTCCCTTTCCAATCTTTGCATTGAGATCACCTAGGACTATCATGATTTCTCTTGTTTTCGTTATTCTAAGTGGAGAATTTTCGAGGAGAACCCTACAGCTAGGTGGCCTAACCACAGTCATTAAAAACAGAAGGTGTCTCATTACCCAAGATCTTCTTCTTAGTCGTTAACCTGATGCAGGTATCGTGATATCATGAAGCTGTTAGGTAATTTTTCCAATGTTCCTCCACGTTTTTCTATCTTCTGCCAATCTAGCACATTCTGACAATGGAGCGCCAATGGTAGCAACAATATGGTCCGTGTATCGTGTAGGAGATCTACCTCTACTTCTTTGGCCTTCTAATTTTCCCTGGATGGTAAGTTTTTCAAGACCATTTCTTCGAAGCACATGTCCAAAATAGCTTATTATCTGTTCTGTTATTTGTGTTCTTAGTCTTTTCTTTATGTTTAGCTGGACCAGTATGGATTCATTTGTTCTTCGGGCCACCCATGGTATTCTCAGCATTCGTCTCCAGCAGTACATCTCAAATACATATATGTTCTTTTTGTCTTTCTCAGTAAGGGACCAGCATTCCGATGCATAAGTAAAAACTGGAAAAACTAGACTTCTTACTAGTCTCATTTTTGTATCGGTGGTAATTTCATGGCTTTTCCAAATTTTTGTTAATTTTGCCATAGCGCTTTTTGCGATTGCTGACCGCCGCTTTATTTCTTCAGTACAGCCTCCTTTGTTGGTTATTAATGAGCCCAGATACACAAATTTACCTACAACAGCGATATTGTTTATCCTAACCAGATGATTTTGATTGTTGTTAGCTCTGTCAATTATCATGATTCTCGTTTTATCCCTGTTTATTTTAAGGCCCATCGTTAAGCTTACGTCTTCTATCCGTTGTAGCAGGTGAATCAATTCAGTTTCAGAACTAGCGAGGATAGTAGTATCATCTGCATATCTCAAGTTGCAAATCTTCTTCCCTCCAATGGTGATGCCACCGTTCCAGTCCTCAGTAGCTTTCCGCATTATCCATTCACCATAGATGTTAAATAAAATTGGGCTTAGTATGCAGCCTTGTCTCACGCCCTTTGTAACCCTGAAACTGTCAGTTAGTTCCCCATTTATTCTAACTCTGGCATAATTGTTATTGTACAGGCTTTTAATTAGCAGTATCAGATGATTAGGGACTCCCATTTCAGACAAAAACCTGCCACATTTTACTCCAGTTGACCAAATCGAAAGCTTTACTATAATCTATGAAGCACAAATATGTTGTGATGTTGAATTCTCTAGATTTTTCTACAATCTGCCGTACGTTTAAAATTTGTTCTCTAGTACCACGTCCTGGGACGAAACCTGCTTGTTCCTCCGCAATGTTAGGTAGTAAAAAGGGCTTTATCCTCTCGAGAATTATGTGTAAGAGTATCTTACTGCAATGCGCAATTAGAGCAATTGTGCGATAGTTGCTACATAAATCTTTCGCTCCCTTTTTATGTATGGGAATATATAGTAATTGTGTCCAGTCCTCAGGCCATTTACCTGTCTCCCACACTCTTTGACAAATTTGATGTATTATATCCACTCCATCGTCATCTAGGGCCCAAATCATTTCAATAGGTATGTTATCTGGACCGGCAGCTTTTTGACTTTTTGCCTCATAATTGCTGCTTCAACTTCACTTTTGAGTACGTCAGGTTCCGTCGGCATGTTCTTGTTGTGATAGGGCGTCTGTGCTTTCCTCCATCATCAGTCGTCCACAGTATTCTTTCCATCTGTGTAAAATATCTTTTTTAGAAGTGAGTAGAGTTCCGTTATCATCTTTGATAGCAGGGTAGTTTGGTGTAAAGGAACGTGTTATCTGCTTTATTTTTTAAATATGTCTCTGGTCTCAGTTTTGGTTTTATGCCCTTCTATTTCCATGCAGATTTTGTTCAAGTGTGTGTGTTCTTGTCCTTTTTGCAGAGTCGTTTTATTTGACCGTTCAGCGCTTTATAGGCCTCTTTATCACTTTCACTGTTCAGTCCTGTGGCTTTTAAGCACTTCCTCTCCTGTATTTTAGTCCACGTGGAGTCCGTTATCCATTGTTTCCTTCTTTCTTCTCTATCACTCTTAATATTTTTCGCAGCATTATGCAATATGGATTTTGTTTTTGTCCATATGCTGTTTGAGGACTCGTCTGGATTTAATGATTGTTTGAGGTCACATAGCTTTTGCATTGCGGCTTTTTTGTACGGATCGTTATATCTTAGATGCCATTTAGTTGTTGTATTTCCTGTTTTTGGACTGTTTCTTAACTTCATGCGGAATTCATCTGATAAAAATTGATGGTCGCTATTACAATCTTTTCCTGGATAGGTCTTAACATCCTTAACAGCGCTCCTTCAACGGGTTTTTACCAGTATAAAATCTATCTGATTTCTGTATCTATTTCCTGGTGATATCCAAGTGTATAGTCGTCTTGGGTGATGTTGAAAGCCTGTATTAGTAACAAACAGGTTGTTGTCTATACAAAAGTGTAGCAAGCGTTCTCCTTGTCATTTCTTTGGCCAAGTCCATATAATCCGACGGTCTCTCGCAAGTAATGATCTTCTGTAGTTTACACCAATGTTAGCGTTGAAATCGCCTACGACTGCTGTGATTTCTCTATTTGGAAGCTTCCTAAGCGTCTGCTCCAACGTACTATAAAATGTTTCGATTTCTTCATCGTGAGCTTCGCTTGTTGGGGCATATGTTTGTACCACATTAAGACTAACTGGACTGGCATTCATTCTGACAACAATTATCCGATCGCTGACGGTTATGTATTCTTTTACGGAGGTTTTAAAGGCATTATTTACTATCACTGCGACGCCATTCCGAGATTCGTTATCATTGCCGGAGAAATAAATATCATTGCCATTTTTTGACGTAAAATGTCCTTTATCCTTCCAGTGGGTTTCAGATAGACCTACAATGGCATAATTGTTGATCTCGTTTTCCACTACATCCAATTTTCGGGTTCCAGCAATCCTCGAACATTCCACGTACCGATTTTAAGGGTGCTCCATATTTTTTACGTTTATTCCAGACTCAGAGTTTCCATGGCGTGCCTGGTTTCTCACAACATCATGGCCGGTAGCCCCATTTCATACCATCAGCCCCGGACGCTGATTGGCGCCAATTGCTAGTTGGATCGCTCGGCATACTGATATGTTTAGAGGTCATCTTCATGATAGTTCTTGGGGCAAAGTAACGCAGTGGGGCCCCACTTCCTTCTGCGTGGTAGAAAATAGTTTAGAGTAAGGAAAGAAAATAGTGACCCGTCCGCCCTCGGAAACCTAATAGCCAATCGGGGTCAGAAAAACAAGAGTTGGCCAAGAGAGGCTGATAGGAAAGATAAAAGACACTTTACTCAAAGACTAGTTGAAGAAGAGTAAAATGTGAAGGTTCTCATGCAAAATTTTACCCAAGATACCTTACGTAAAATTCTGATCATAAGCCTCCTCACGTAACTCACACGTTGAGGAGGGGTGGACGAAAAGCTTGGGGGTCAGATAGGTACCACCTCAACTAGTGAGGTGTGACCGGTTTGATTTTCGGACATGTGGATCCCACTCTTACAGTGGTATACACATGTTCCTAGATGCAGGGTTGATCGCTTCGCGTGATTGTGTGTGTGTGTGACAGAAAATTCACAGTTTTAAATAATATACTTTCGTATTTTACCATTAAAGATAAAGCCTCTAGTTTGGTGCAATTTTATTTATTTAAAGGAATATTTAAATATTTAAATAAAATTTTAATATAAGTGTAATACTAAATTGTTCATCTTTTATTAAAATCAGGACAATTCCAGAAGGAAGAAGTCGTCTGCTAGGAAAGAATGTACCAAATATTTTATTTTTACATTGTAATTATGACCTCTGAGCACGTGTCAAATGGTGTTTTTTTAATGAATATTTTGATTCGGTATGTATGTTTATGGTATTGTTCGTACTGCGCATAAGTCCAGTTTTTCAAATTTTTATTACATATTTGTGTGCGTCTTATAGAGTCTTTAAGCATATACCTGAACTACTATATTCGCTAAAACCACACTCAATCCTAACCGCAAGACGGAAGAGTCTCGCAGGCTTAGTCTTGTTCTTGCTTAAATCTTGTACAGTCAGTCTTGGTCTTGGTCTTACTAAAATTAGGCGGTCTTGGTCTTGGTCTTGGTCTTGCAAAAACGCAAGAACAAGACCAAAACTGCAAGACCAAGACCGATTTTGGGCAACACTAATTTTCAAAATTTTTCTTTTTCCATTGTTTTTATTGTTTTGTTTTGTAAAGTTTCATTAACTTTTTTGTGTTAGTAACTTAGTTCTAACAGCATGCACAAGAGTTTTTTTATTAGGTTTAACGGGATACTAAACATTTCCTAATTATTTCATGAATCTATTCTCTGTTCACAAATTGTTGATAGCACGAAATATGCCTCAAAATCATCAAACGGTCGTAAAATTTGTATCATCATAGGCGTTCCTGAGGTGTTTATTCATTAAAATTAATATTAATATTAATAATGTTTTTAATACTGATATATTTAATAAAAAACAATTAAAACTTTCACGGCTAATGTTGGTTATTATATTATATTAATAAAAATAATAATTTAACCATTAACAATTTTGTAAATAAGAATACATTATCTCTTTGGATATTTCAATTCAATTCCCTAGATTTTTAATAATATAATGGGTATAGATGCCGGATTTGGCCACGTACCTCGTCTGTTTAGTTTATATTCGAAACTTAACTTAAAAGGGTGAAGTTATTACGAACGAAAACAATTTGTTTGTTAAGTAACTTTTCCGCTTCTACGGCAGTAATTAGCGTCTCGAATATTTCTTTTGCGAATTATATGCAGTGGGTGAGTGATTTTTTATTCCATATACCTACGAACATATACGTACCTTTCGCTCGTGCTCGTTTTGTTGGATTGTTTGTGATGGCTTCATCATCAACATCATCAAGTTTTACACCGGTACTGTTGCGTACAGTCAGTAAGTCTGTCTATTCACCAAGAGAGAAGACTATTGTCCTGAATGTTCACGATGCTCTGGTTTCTCAGAATCCCACAAACACTGTTCGCAACATAGTCGAAAGTTGTGCCAACATGACTGGCGTAGGGGAGAAACTATATATAGGTTCCTATTAGAAAGAAAAAAACACGGTATAGCTAACCCAAACACAAACGAACACTTAAAGAGAGGGAAAAAGCCTATTGAACTTGATGAATTTGCCAAAAATGGTATTCGAAGGAAAATTCGTGGATTTTTTTTTCAAAACAGAAATACCAAACCTAAATAAAATTTTACAAGAAGTTAGAGATGATCCGGATTTGCCTCATATCGGACGAACTAAATTGTGGCAAGTTTTAAAAGAAATAAATTTCCGGTGGGAGAAATCAGACCGAAAATCACTTTAGATTGACCGGGAGGAGATAATATGTTGGAGAAGAAATTATCTAAGATCCATACGAAAATTCCGGGCTGAAGGAAGGCCAATCTTCTACCAGGATGAATCGTGGGTAAACTCAGGTCATACTCTAAAAAAAGTTTGGTCAGATGAAAATATATTAAGCTCCAGGCAAGCCTTTATGGAAGGTTGGTCTACTGGTATCTCCCCACCTTCTTGTAAAGGCAGTAGATTAATAATTTCTCACATTGGCAGTAAAAAAGGATTTGTTAAGCATGGTTTGTTGGAATTTCAGTCCAAAAGCACAAAAGACTATCACGAGGAGATGACATGATGTTTTCGAAGAGTATTTTGTGCAGATGATTGAACACATACCACCAAATTCAATTATAGTATTAGATAATGCACCTCATCATTCACGACTAGTAGAAAGACTTCCAACGACTGCGTGGAAAAAACAGGATATTCTTGACTGGCTGCGGAATAAGTACCTGCCGTACGAAGATGGAATGGTAAAAGCAGAATTTTTAAAAATTTCCCGGCAACACAAATCTAAGTCCAAGAAATACGTAGTTGACAAAATGGCGGAAAGGAGAGAACATCACAGTCCTTAGACTTCCACCCTACCACTGCGAAATAAATCCAATTGAACTCATTTGGGCACAAATGAAAAGGTATGTTGCTAGAAAAAATACGTCATATAAAATACAAGATGTACGTGAATTGTTATACGAGTCTTTACAACACATTACAGAACAAACTGGAAAGATGCAGTAAGACATGTAATAGAAGAAGAACAAAAAATGTGGGATCTTGATAACTTAATTGATGTGACCGTAGAGACACAACCGCTAATTATTAACCCTCAAGACGACTCGGATTCCGAAGTTGATCCTATTTTGAATTGGAATAGTTTTCTAATCGTAATTATATAAGTTAAGTGATAGTAGTTGTAATCGTAAGGTACTAAAGGGGAAGGCGCAAAACGTCGCCTGTCAAAATGTTCAATGTGTTTTAAATGTATCGATTTTTTTTTCAAATCCTGAGAAAACTAAACAGCCTTTTTGGAAAAATTTAAAGGCAGAATAAAATATTTATTAGAATAAATAAAAGTTTCTTTGCGTGCAATATTTTTCAATTAAAAATTATACTATATTCTCTCTTTTATTTTCACCCCTGTTGCATAACATAATAAAATAAACATTGTAGAAGTTTTCAGGGACTTTCTGTAATATACATCAGTATACATACATATATATAATACCCTCAGTAATAATGTAATCTTTCACTCTGCTTTTAAATTTTTCAAAAATATTTATTAGTTTTCTCCGAATTCGAAAATAATGGATACATTTAAAACACATTTGGTGCCTTTCCCCTTAATTAAATAAATGTATCTTTACAAATGGCAAAAAACTTTATTTTTGAATAAAATATTTTATTTTATTATAAGTTTTATTAAAACAAAAATACATTTTAAAAAAATATATTTATTTAGTTCAAATAAATGTTTCAATCATATACTCTACGACACTGGTCGGCCAAAATACGTTCCTAATCGATTATAAGCTTGACCGCTCTATTGTATTCCGGCAGATACAAGGTGGGTTAGACGAAAACATCTTAAATCGTCAGTTTCAGGTTGGTTTTTACTATTATATCGTATTACCTATCCTCTCTGTATTTCAGTTCTCTAATTAGGATTAAACTTGTAGTGAGCTATCAACAAATTGTGAACAGAGTAAGAAAAGACAGGTTTGATTTAAACGCTTTGATTTAATTCGTACCTATTATGTGCAAAGATACAGCGAACGGAGTGTAGATAGCGATCGGACTATCATATTAGTAACTTGATCATTTGAGAAATTAAAGGAAAAACTTTAAATAACAGTAAAAATATATATACTTACCAAATAAGCACAATGGGAAGTATTAACAATAAGAGAAGAGCCCACAGACCGTTAGCTGAAACATTTTCAAATTTTGTTGGGGTAGGAGTTTCAGCCGTTGTTACAATTATTGGTGTTACATAATTTCCCTTAGTTTGTATAAACATTTGACGAGTATGACTTCGAGTCAAATTATTTTCACATTTATTAAGTAAGGTTACCATTACACTATAATTCGTTCCTGGGTTTAAGGGAGTATTTACAGGGTCATCATTTTTTCCAATAACAAACTTGATATTCGAGTCAGTCACATTTGAAGATGTGTACACCAATTTTAAATTACTTGTCGAAGGATTCGTATAAAACTCCTCTAAATAATTCATTTGGCCAGTGCCGGAAATAAAAATATTACAAGTGTCGACCTTTCTCATTGTTTTCTTTATTTTGATTTCCAATGTTATTGTAGTATTGGTACTGTTACTATTAATATTTTCAATTTCTTCCGGTATGGGTGGTGGTGTGTCAATAGTTATAGATGAAAAGCCGCTGGCAGCATATATATTATGGGCTTGGACTGATAATTTTAAAGTATTACAAGTGGTAAATGTCGAAGCGTTCATCTACAAAAAACACATTGTATTAATATTGTTCTAAAGCTATCTTTTTGTGGCATCTTAATGCAATTTGCTATTTTTTATTTGGGAATAAGCCACAATTTTACTTTAGGATAAGTTAATTTTGACGTTTCGATTTCCACTTCGGAACTATGTTACAAAATAAAAAATATTATTAAATTAAACAAATTTTGGTTTTGGTTACTTGTCAAAAGATATCTTCTACTAATTTAATTTTATCTGATTCATTCGTATCGACAATTCAGACATATATTTATTACATCTTTTAAAGTAGATGATTTTAAAATGATATTGCCAATATTTTTGAGTTGCGTTCTTGGGACGACTTTATTTTTAAATTTGTTTTTCGTCTTTATAGAGGGGATCTGAAATCTTCAAAAGACATCTCAGTCCAGGACTCCGCCTGATTGACCTTAGTGCAGAATTCGTTCTTCGTACTTCCGGCGATAGTTCCCGAAGTACTTTAAAATCCCTCCCATCGCCGAGTCTACGCTGAACGCCTGCTTGCTAAGCCAGACCCTCCTCTGTCATTCAGCGGTCCAGAACCGAAATGGCCGCTGTAAGGCCGGCATGACTTTCGAAACACTACCTTTATTCATTCATTATCCATTCATCCACATCTACATTCCATTCATCAGCAAGGAGGCTCCCTGTCTCGTTCCAGGTAGCACATAGACGACCCTCATCGCTCCTAGTACGGTGTCATCATCAGACGGGCATTTCCTCCTTCCCCACAGTCTGACTCACGTATTCTAACTCATACAGTCTGTCCCACTTTTTTAGCTTCAACTTCCAGCATCTTTATCTCTTAACTTTGCCGTTGGTCTAGCTGTCTTTCTTCCTCTTCTTTTTTATTGATCACTGCACGACATGTTCGGGGATCAGCATTTTCGTCCACTGTGCCACATCCTTCGTATAGTTTCATTCTTCTTGCCTTTCTGACCTTTCCCTTTCCTGTCTTGTCTCGGCTATAGTAAGGTTTGGACCTCTTCTCTTATAAAGCTCTTTTATTTCCACTGCCAAAACATGCAACGGAACACATCCAGTGATGTTCAACAAGGCTGCCGCAGATATAGCCCTGTAGACGCATTCTTCTTTTTCTTCTTGTAGTGCCTATCCGTTTCGGATGTTGGCGGACCATCATGGCAATCTGCACTTTGCACACTGCTGCTCTAAAAAGATTGTGGTTGTTGTATTGAACCACGTTCGTAGATTTTTCAGCCAGGAAATCCTTCGCCTTTCTGGTCCCCGTTTTCCTTCTAATTTTCCCTGCAAGATTAGTTGCAGCAGTCCATATCTTTCGCTGTTCCTCATGATGTGACCGAGGTATTCGATTTTGGCTGATTTTATTGTGGTTAACAGCTCTTTTTCTTTTTTCATTCTCAACAGAATACCCTCATTAGTAACGTGGCCCTATACGATATCTTCAGGATGCGACGATAAAGCCACATTTCAAAAGCCTGAATTTTCTTGCAGGTGGCGCCTGTGAGAGTCCATGACTCAACTCCGTACAACAGTATAGGAAAGATGTAACATCGTAGTAACCTGATTTTTTATGGGCATTGATAAATCATGACATTTGAATAACTTAGCCATTTTTTGAAATGCAGATCTTGCTTTCTCTATTCTACATTTGATTTCTATGGAATGGTCCCAATTTTCATTGACGTTCGTACCAGGGTAGGTGTATGTTTTTTTTTTTATTTGTTGACCGTTTACACTGATTTGTCCAAATTGCTGTTCCTTCTTAGAGATCATCATGCATTTTGTTTTCTTAGTGTTTAGTGAAAGTCCGTATCTCTGACTGACCTCTGTGATTGTGTTCATTAACTCCTGGAGGGTTTCAGAACTATCAGCGAATACTACCGTGTCGTCCGCGTATCTAATGTTATTGATAAATTCTCCGTTGATTCGAATTCCGGCTTCAACATCACCCACTGCTTCTTGAAAGATTTCCTCAGAGTATATGTTAAACAACAGTGGTGATAGTGTACATCCCTGACGGACGCCACGTTTGATTTTGATATCGTCGGATTCTCCTGCCTCTGTCCGGATAGATGACGTTTGATTCCAGTACAGATTGCTGACAATTCTTAAATCACAGGTGTTTATTCCAATATTGGTTAATATCTCCATCAGCTTGTCGTGCTTTACTGTATAGAACGCTTTATGGTAGTCAATGAAGCACGCATAAATGTCGCAGTTCACGTCTCTACACCGTTGAAATAGCACCGTAGTATACTGAAGATGCATGCCACTCACAATAGATTTGTTCTGTCCACTTGTGTCATGAGCCTCCTATAGGCCGTTATCTCTACCGCCTTGTTCCAGACTGGTGCCGCGTAGAGGACGATCGACTGTACAGCACCGTGTAAGACCCTCCTTTTTTGGGATTTGTGTCCACTAATGTTGAGCATCACGCTCCCCAATGCAACTGCACTATTCGCAGCCTTCCGAATCACCCGTACACATACTTCCCCATTTTCTGTTCTGGTGAAATGTCACTTGTAGGTACTTTACGTGTTTTTTGGGTGTTAGACATGCTCCCGCACATTGTAATTTAATACCTACCAATTGCCGGAGAAAAACTGAGCTGCCCACCGTGCTTCGGAGAACACGTAACGCCGTCGGTTTCGGCTACAAAAGTAGTCGTTGTTATGTTAGGGGCACTTGCACGACCTAAAAACCCTAACACTAGACCTTAGCCAGAAGGTTACAAGAACTTTACTTAACATTTGACTGTTCCTTTTCCCCTTCAGAATGATGGCTTCGGTTTTTTTGCCGCAAGTTACAGTCCGTGCTGCGTCATTCGTTTCTTTGCGACGCAGCCTGCTTTCCAAACCCGGTATTTAAGATCTGGCTCATCCCGGGCCGCTACCAGTACAGCGAGGTCATCCGCGAATGCGAAGAGGGTTTTACCCTCTCCGTATTCACAGTTCATAACCCGTCATATGCCAGGTTCCATAGCGTCGGACGCAAGACAGATCTGTGGGACCCCAGCCGTCACGTCTATGATCATGCCCTTTTCTACCATAATCCTTCTCTCGGACAGATATTCCGTCACCACATTACCTCGTTCTACTGAAGCGTATTGAATGGATTTTTAACATCAAACAACAGCGATGTTCATTCCCTCTGTTACGTAATGCTTTGAGTACACTCACGCTTGCATTAATCGGTCTTTCCTCTTTACAAAAACCAAATTGCCTCCGAGATATACCACCTGACCTCTCAATCATGTCGTCTATATGTACTCGCAGCATCCTTTCATACAGCTTACTGATGCATGAAAGAAGACAGGTGAAGCGATACTTTTCCCTAGCCTTAGGTATTAACTTCGTATCTCCTCCAAGGTTCAGGAAAGGTTTGTGCTTGCAGCAGTGCATTCATGTGTTCCAGAAGTCAAGCAGGCTCCACCCGTTCTACACCCTTCACCGCCTCAAATGGTGTTTGATTTAGTCCGGGGGACCTACGCGTCTTGAGTGAACTCAATGCCTTGACAAGTTCATCCAAGGTAAAGGGTACGGCGCTCTCAGCTCATTCGTCCCTATATACACCATGCTATTTGACGTTTGGAAAGAGTTCTCGTGTTACCTCAAGCTTCTTGTCTATGGGCATTTTGTAAGAAGGATACGCATGGAACTTCCTCATGACGCTATTGTATCTCTTGCCCCAGATGTCCTCATCCAGCTTTTCACCCAGCTCTTTCCAACCTCAGGGTGGATCTCTGCTCTGTGTCTGTTAATTCTATTGTTGTCAGTTTGACAAATGTCATTGAGGAGTAATCAATTTTGGACAGATATAATGAATCCGGACAAAAAATTAAAATTTGGCTGCCAGTCAGGTTCAGAAACAAAAAAATTGGTTTCGGAAAATGCTCCATTGAGCACGCAGAGGTTAAGAAGCTCTAATTGGACCCAATTTTTGTAGTTCCTACGGATGAGAAATTTTACGCTTGAAAGATGTACTACCATAACGGAACTAGCAAAAAATTCTTATTTTCAGTTTTGTCTACGAATTGGTTGTTTCTAATTTGAATATTTATTATAATTGTTGAGACTGTGTGCTATATTTTATATTATATCTATAATAAATATCAAAGTGAATATTATTGTTGCATTTGCTTTGTCCGATACGTTAGTGAATACAAATAGAGGAACTTCAGACTGATGTCTAAGGTATTTGTGAAACTCGTTCTGTTAAAAGGCATAAAGGTCATCTTCAATTCCAGGGCGAATCAATCATCAAAATATACAAAACTCTTGTAACAATTTTTACGTGGAAGGACAGCAAAATGTCAGCTAACGCATTTTCATTAATGCATACTATTAGGAGCCCAGAGTTTATCATGTCAGTAGTTTGTCTTAGTGATGTTTTAGGTACAAGTGTATCACTTAGTCGTCTTATTTAGTCACCAAAATTAGATTTGAAGAAGTCTACTGAGGCTATAGGCTAAATGTATTCTTCAAAATAGTGCTGAATCTATTTTTGGCAAACTTTACTATGAAGTAAAGGAAATAACTGAACAAACAAACCTGTCGTCAAAACCAACTGCTCACTCTTCCAAAAAATAGATCTGTTTATTTACCCCTTTTAGACAATATCTTAACTGATTTAGAAGAACGACTTTTACGAAAGTTATTAATCTATTTAATCATCGAGTTGTTTTACCTAAAACTGATAACACACCAGAAGATAAAGTTTCATTAAATAAATTGTTGACACCATTCAGGTTATTATTGGACAATATAGTAATAATAACAATATAACAAGAGTTTTTACTGTGGCTTCAAAGTGGGAAAGAGTCGTACAAAATAAAGGAAAACTTCTTGATTCTAGGAAAGTAGGAGGAAACTTTAGAAGTATTGGAAAACTGTGATATTTATATGTATCCAAATATCGGAATATTTCTGCAAATATCAATTACACTGCCAGTCAGTGCAGCAACAGCAGAGCGTAGTTTTTCTACGCTTAAGCGTCTAAAGAATTGGCTTAGAAATAGAACTTCGGAGGAATGGTTAACTGGTTTAACATTTATCAATGTGCATCCTGAAAATTCTTTAGATCTGATGCAATCATAAAGCGATTTCTTAAATCGGATAGGCGAAAAGAATACATTTTATAAAATTATATAATATTTACTTATCTTATTCCTATAGTATTTTGGTCACTGAACTTTTATTTACACTCGTTGCCGGCTGTTGCTGACAATTCGTGAGAAAAATTTCAATACCAATTAAAAAAATATTTCACTTAGTTCTACTTATTTACACTTCTTCTTAAGGTTCCTTCTTCATTACGGAATTGTGGCTAAAACTACAGCAAATTGCTTTCTATCTTGAGCTGTTATTAGTATTGAATGTGTGTCATGCCTGTCCAGTCCCTTACATACTTCAGCCAGAAGCATTTTCTTCTTCCTGGACCACTTTTTCCTTCTACTGTCCTTCCATTATGAGTCGTAGAAAGTTATATTGTTCTCCTCTTTAAATATACCCTAGATAACTCGTTTTTCCGTTGTTTACAATATTTAGAAGTTCTCTCTTAGTCCTCATTCTTCTCAGCACCTAGTTGTTGGTCACAAAATCTTCAGCCTCCTTCGAAATACATACAGATCAAAGGCGCATGGTTAAAATTCCCGACCTCATGTTTCAGAGACCTCATGTTTCCTCATGAATAAATTAATCAAATTATCAAAATATCATTTATTTAACTTTGTATCGAGACCTGAAGATGCTTTGCATATTGTAGAAAGCGAAACCGGTCGTCTGATAGTTAAATTAAATTGATTATGAGTAAGTCTTGTTTATTATTTCTTTACCTATTTGAATAAATTAATCTTTTTACACTTGATATCGGATATCCAACGATAAGATAGAGTTTATTAGGAATGTTCAATACATTCATTAATGTTTACACGTACATTGAGTTATTACATTTAAATTACTTAATTTTGGTTTATACTTATTTATCCTTGGTTTGTTCTTCATTTTGTAGCCATAGGATAGGTGGGTTTAAATTAATTGCATTTAAAATACCTAGTTTTAATAATTGACAATCCTTGATTTTTCAGTATTTATATTTTAATAACTTTCCTTGGTTTTAATAGTCTTGTACACTTGATATTACTGTCATAGAGTATGTTGTACCCCTTAATGTTGTAGCTTTCTTTGCACTAATAGGGTATTTGGGTTTTAATAACTTATCATTGGTTTTATATATCACTTTTTCTGGGAATCAGCCACTGAATGATGCAAAAATCTAAATCCTATATCAAAATCACCCTCAAGGCTCATGAGCTCCACCTCAACAGAACTTTCTGGATCCGCCACTGTTACCAATAATATTTTTCAGTATGATAATATTAAAATAAATTTAACTAATTTGTGAATAATACTACATATTTACTTACTTGATATTGATATTGATATATAGGCATAAATTCTGTAGGGACTTCCTTTTTCTTTTGCTTATTAATTAATATTTCAAAGCTTCGAAGTTCTCCCCTAGTATCATTGGGATGGTAAAATGAAACATTTAAATCATTTTTTTCCGTCCACATAGCTTCCAGATTATATACCACCGATGGTCCTAAAATTAAAATATTGTTTTTTCTGTCTTCTTTTAAAATATACAGGATGTACACATCTTAGCTTAAAATATGAAGACATATTTTACTTATAGGAAGACAACCTCACTTTCACAACTGAGATCAAACATCAAATTGAGACCAATAACGCCAAACCCATTTTTATGAAGTCATGCAGATATTCTTAGGTCCATAAAAAAGGAGTAAAATCTCAAGTAAATAAAATGGTCAATGAAGTCATTTTGCCCATTTAGCTCTCCTTGGTCATCTCCTATTTGGGTCGTTACGAAAAAATAATTTCTTCCGAAGAACAAAAATGGCGAGAAGTAAAAGACTACCGCAAGCTCAATGAATGTACCATTGACGATATATATCCTCTTCCTAATATCTTCGACCTCTTAGACAAGCTTGGAAAATGTCAATGTTTCACAACTTAAGATCTTGCCTTCGGGTTCCATCAGATCGATATTGATCTCAAAAACGTTCCTAAAACAGCCTTCTTTATTAAAAACGAAGGACACTATGAATTTACTAGTATGCCTTTTGGACTTAAAATTGCGCCATTTGCATTTAAGTTTGTCATGAAGAATACTCTTCTAGGTATTTTGAACAAACGATATATTATCTACATGAACGATATTATAGTATACTCCCCTACCATTCACGAGCACATTTCATGTCTTACTGAAGTCTTCAAACGTCATTCGCCCAAGATGGCGTTAAGCCTTAACCTTCAGAAGTCGATTGTATATAACGATTTCCTGAACCAAAAACACCAAAAGACAAAATCTTTCCTAGATCTCGTCGGTTACTATCGTCGTTTTATTCCAAATGTTGCCAAATACTCCAAACATCTCACTGGAATACACCAGAAAGATCTGGTTTCTTTCAATTTTTTCGAAAGACCTCGAGATAACCCATTACAAACTTAATCAGTATTCTAAAGAATGCGAGAATAAGATAGAGGATAGGAATTTTCAATACCAATGACAATGACCATCCACCATCTCCACAAAGACACCTAGAGACAGCCTTTGCCAGGAATTGGTAGAAGATCCTTCTAAACGTAGACCCAGTATGCACCTAAGCGACTCCTTGGAAGAAGAAAAGCAGATCCAACGAAATACCAACAACAAGACAGTCCTAAAGTTGCTATATGCATTGTACCAACCAATGTTCGTTATCACCACAATAATCAGGGTATCAGGTTTCAAGTTCCAACTACCAGAGCCGGTAAGGATTCCTGCACATGCAGTATCAGCAAAGTCAGCGGCATCCGAGGTGTTTACACATTTCCACTAAGTCAGTAGTCATCAATATTATAAAATAATTTGTAGTTCTTATTATTCATTCATTATCATTCAAATTATAGCACGTTACTTTGCACTTTGAATTTTCAAACTAAAATTGTTTTTTTAAGTCAAAAAAGTGTTTCGTGTTCCTATATATTACAGTTGACCTGAACTTTGTACTGCCTTAGTATTAAATAAAATGTGTCAAAGCTCAATAAGCTCCTCTTTAGAGTCTATTAAGTAACAGAAATCACTGGGTAATAAAATGAATCCATCTGAGGTGTCAATAGCGACTTTATCATTTCCAATGTCCAGCAACTGCTTCGACATTACAATTGCACTTTGATCTTATTGCAAAAACACTTGCATGTTAGTGGTCAATTGGAGCGTCTCTTCATGCCGCCACAAACTGGATGATGTTGGGCATGCGTTTAGTTCCCAGCAGTTAAATGTAAAACAATTATTATATAAGGAACAGTCTCATAATGAAATTATGGCTCCACTAAAAATGTTTTTGATTGTCACGAATATCTTTCAAAGATATGTTCAGTGCCTGTAATGACCTTTTGTATGCCAAGGTATAATTATCTCAAACTATTTAAGTTGTGTACCTGTAAAACTTTGCCATTGCGTTTTTTTTGGTGATGTCATTTAGTGTTTAATTGATTTGTATGTTTAATGATAACTTCAAGGAAAACTGTGCAGTTCATTCACCTTCTAATAAAGTTGCAAATATTTTAGATGGAGCAAACGCTAAAGTTACTGAGATCTGATCATTGTAAATAACAATAAAATTATGTTAATGTAATGTTTTTTTTGGAATGTGTTTTATTTTAGTTTACTCTATTTTAATCTACTTAGATTTATCAATAAAGTGTAAACTTCGACTTACTAATTAGTTTTTGAGCATGGATCACAAAATAACGCATTTCTTAATAAACTACTCACAAAAAAAACTGGCATAATTTAACGATAAACTAATTTGAAATAGAAAATATTAAGTTATTGCATATTACCTTGTCTTCCTATGTATATAGAGACGGGATCTGAGTAGGGCGCAGGATTTTGATCCTGATTTTTTGCAGAAATCTGAAAACAAAATTTTGAGATAGGGGAAATAATAAAAAACTTAAAGGTAAAATTTATTTTGCAAAATAATTTAAAGGTTTATTTTAGTTTATATTTATTTGGTTTATATCTAAGAAGATACATGTTGGTTTTTGTACTATATCGATTTCATAAAACGTAATGTTTTTTAACTTTTTTATAACAACTAGAGAAATACCAGATCGACTTGGGTAATTTTGATTTTAAAATATATTTATAAATATCTGTATAAAATTAATAAAATAAATAAAATTAAGTAAATTAAATTAGGTAAAATTGAATCAAATAAAATAAAATAAATTAAATTAAAAACCATGGCTCCGGGCGTAGACGATAAGAAAGCGTATAGATCTTCTTCTTTTTGTGCCACTCCTATCGGAGATTGGAAATCATCAAGGCTATTCTGACCTTGTTTACGGCTGACCTAAAGAGTTCATTAGTGGTGCAGCCAAACTACTCTCTCAAATTCCGCAACCATGATATTCTTCTACGGCCTGGATTCCGTTTTCTTCTATTTTTCCCTGCATTATATTTTGAAGTAATGCGTATTTATGTCCTCTCATCAGGTGACCAAAATATTCGAGTTTTCTTCGCTTTAGCGTTAACAAAATCTCTGGGTCTTTTCCTATTCTTCGTATTACTTCACAGTTTGTTATTCTTTCAACCCAACTAATCTTCAGCATTCGACGGTAGCACCACATCTCGAAACTTTCAATATTTTTCATGTTGTTCTGTTTGAGAGTCCAGGCCTCTACACCGTATAATAGCGTGTTAAATACATAGCCTCTCAGCATTCTTAATCGTAGAGGGATGCTTATATTTCTGTTGCAGAAGAATTTTCTCATCTTTATGAAGGTGGCCCTGGCAATTTCGATACGTCTTTTTATTTCACTGTTTTGGTCTCCAGTTTCGTTTATTAAAGTTCCCAAGTATTTGTAGTTTGATACTTTTTCAACTTGAGTGCCGTTTATACTAATATACGCTGGTTGTGTCATGTTTTTACTGAAGACCATATACTTGGTTTTTTTAATATTGATATTTATACCATAATTGTTGCAAGCAATATTTATGTCTGTAAGTAATATTTGTAATTCTTCTACTGTTCTTGCAACTAGTACAGTGTCGTCCGCGTACCTATCGAATATTATTTACAATCTCTCCATTAATTACGATTCCTCCGTTTGCTTGTAAAAGGGCTTCCTGACAGATGCTTTCACTATATACATTAAATAACAGAGGTGACAAAATGCAACCCTGTCGTACTCCTCTACGTATTTCTATTGCTTGTGATGTTTCAGTTTCTATTTTGATGTTAGCTTTCTGATTCCAATATAGATTGAGAATTATTCGCAGATCTTTATTATCTATGTCCTTCCTTTTAAGAATCTCTCTAAGCTTATCATGGCGTATGGCTTATCAACGCTTTTTCAAAATCGATAAAACATGTATGTACCTCCTGATTAACATCTAGGCATCTTTGTGTGAGAACATTCAAACCGAAGAGAGCTTCTCGAGCACCAAGCCCTTTTCTGAACCCATCTGTGTATTACTAATATCTGACTCCAACTTTTGATAAACTCGGTTGTGGATGATTTTTAGAAATATCTTTAGTAGGTGGCTCATTAAAGATATTGTTCGATGTTCTGAACATTCTTTAGCATTAGATTTTTTTGGCAGTGTAACGAATGTAGACAACAGCCACTCTTGAGGTATAATGCCAGTATTGTATATTGTATTAAATAAGTGCAATATTATACCTATTGATTCATCATTCAAGAGTTTTAGCAATTCGGTAGGAACCTCATCCGGTCCATTTGCTTCCCAGTTTTGGAATTTTTAAGTGCCATTTCTACTTCACATTTTAGAATTTCAGGTCCCGTTTCGCCATATATCAGAACAATGTTATTTCTGTTGTCCTCAAATAACTCTCTTATGTATTTACTCCATCTATTAATTTTCTCTGTTAAATCTATAATAATCTTTCCATCTTTGTTCTTAAGCAAACTTATTTGACGTCTTCTTTGGGTTCCTGTAATATATAACGATATATTACAGCGTATAGATATATAACGATAAAACGTAAATATATCACTTTATCACAGAAAGATGGTATGAAAAATCAGTTAGTGAACCAGATACTTTTGACTAACTGATTTTTCATACCATCTTTCTATCAGTTAGCCTAGACTCCAACACAGATCAGAGGTAATGTAAGTCGATACAACCTCACCAGCTACAGGGGGTCATATAAGATGCCCCCATTTTCATTTTTTATTAATACACAATTTAAGAGTCTATTGCATTTACCTAAATAAATAACATGAAGATTATTTTTTAAATTCAGATGTCCATCGAATGTTTTTTATGTGGCCACACAATGTTTTTTTCAACAACTTTTTATTAAACTGATGATGGAATGATACAATTCCGAAAAGATCTTCTTTATAATAAAAAATTTTAAGCTTTATAAGCGCTTTTTTTTATACCTTAATACACACGAACACCACGTGCTTTGTATTCAACAGGTATACTAGCCACTCCTGAATATCTCCACTTCATGGTTTGTTCCAGTTTCACTTTTTAAAAATTCCTAGATAACATAGACCAAGATATGAGAAATATGGAAAACACGTGCTTGGCGGAGGAAGGCGATGGATAGGGACGACTGGAAGAGAATTCTTGGGGACTCTAGGATCCACACAGGGTTTGTAAAGACAAAATGATGATATTGTGGCTTATTCCCAGTTAAATGGTAATTAATTTAAAATGCCACAAGAAAATAGCTTCAGAACAATATACAAAATGATGATGATGATGATAGCGACATATGATATATTGCATGACACTTGGTTTAACTGCACTTCTGCTGACCTCTTTAGAGCAACGGTATCGAAAGTGCGAATTGCCATGGTGGTTGCCAACCTTCTTAGAGGAGATGGCACATAAAGAAGAAGATGGATGATAATAGACATATTTGCTTTATACAGATTACATTGTTTTGTTGGCCATTATTAGTGTTAACATTTATTAACTCTAAGATGGTATGAAGTTCATCCATTCCGCTAGTGATTTATAAAAAATGATTAAATTTACTTACTTGTATATTGTACGAAGTTTGGAATAAAATTTGTTTATCGATCGTTGCACAGTGATAACCTTTCCAAAATTTACATTCTGTAACGTTTACGTCTTCAACTGTTTTTCTCCAGCCATATAAAATAAAATATTTTTCCAAAATTCCAGTGGGAGGATATGGTGGTTTCCAGCGTAAGGAAATTGAAGTCTTACTATTGTTGTACTTCTCTAAGCCAGAAATTTGATTGGCAACTAGTAATAAAAGCAAATGTCGTTAAAGTTATATTTTTTATTTAATGTAGATATTATGGATAGAGATCTTAAAATATTTATGTTGTTGGGTATAATACGCTTTCTAAGAGAGGGAAAGTTCGCACTGCAATATACAAAAGGAAAATATATTAGACTTGTATGATCGAGTGCAATAAAAGATAAGTGACCGTTTACGTTGAGGAGACAGGTCCAGATATAAGCAAAAAAGAAGTAGTGCAAGCGGTAAAGTCATCAAAGAATAGCAAAGCTCCAGGACCAGACGAGCTACCAGCGGATATACTAAAGTTAATACACGAAGATCGAATCCATTTGTTAGTAGACTTATTTAACAAGATTTATGAAAACAGTATAATTCCTGAAGAATGGCTTAGATCAACCTTTGTCCCTCTTTCCAAAAAGGCCATGCTAAGCAGTGCAGTGATCATCGCACGATCAGTCTGATGAGCCTTAAAAATATTCCTTAAAATAATTCACAATAGAATTTACAGAAAATTGGAAAAAGATATCGGAGAAGCTCAGTTTGGATTCCGGGAGGGATATGGAACTCGCGAAGCATTATTTGTATTTAACATCTTGACACAGAGGTGTTTGGACGTGAATCAAGATGTATTTGCTTGTTTCAATGAAAACAACAAGGTGTTTGATAACGTCAATCATGACCAACTTTTAGAGATCTTGAAAGCTATACAGTTAAACACTCGCGATATAAAAATAATATTCACTCTGTATTATAATCAGAAGGCAGTCGCACGCATCAAAAATAGAACAACAAATGAAATTCAAATTAAAAAAGGAGTTAGACAAGGATGTATGCTGTCACCAATGCTATTTAATCTCTATTCGGATTAAATTATGAAGAAAGCATTTGAGGAAGAAGAGATTGGAATAAAAGTTAACGGCCAACCAATTAATAATATTAGATATGCAGATGATACGGTTTTAATTTTGGAGAGAGTAGAAGACCTGCAATCCATTTTAAACAAGGTAGTCACATCTAGTGAAGAGTAAAGGTTAACAATGAATGTCAAGAAGACGAAATTATTTAAAAAAAAACAAAGATTGAATGCAAACCTGTACATTCACAATAACGAAATCGAACGGGTGCACAAATATAAAAATACTTGGGAACAAGTGTTAATAACAACAATGACATCACAGAAGAAATAAAAACTAGAATTGGAAAGGCTCGAGCTGCTCTTGTTAATATGAAGGACATTATGGGAAGTCATGACATTAACTTAAACCTGAAAATGAGATTGGTTAGATGCTACATCTTTTCGATACTGCTGTACGACTTAGACTTTAAACAAGAGCAATACCGATAAACTAGAGGCCTTCGAAATGTGGATATATAGCAGAATTTTGAAAATACCTTGGACAGACACAATAACAAATAGTGTAGTTCTTCAAAGAATGAACAAAGAACGGGAGCTGTTGATCACCATCAAGAGAAGAAAGTATCTTGGTCATGTGATGAGAGGGAAAAAGTACGATTGCTCCAGTTAATTATCCAAGGAAAGATTCAGGGCAAACTAGGCGTGGGGAGACGATGTATATCTTGGTGTGCAATTTAAGAGACTGGTTCCAGTGCACATCTAATCAATTATTTAGAGCAACAGCTTCAAAAATACGAATAGTAATGATGATTGCCAAACTCCGTAACGGAGAGGGGCACTTGAAGAAAAAGAAGTTTGCAACAAATTCGTTTTCAATTCATTTGCCACTCACAGAAGTGTTTTTCCTGTATAAGAAGCCAATAATGCTGCTAGGTTGAATTTTGAACTGGCAAAACAAAATTATAAAAGGTATTTTTAATTATTTTTTTGTGTTGTATTTTTACTTCAACGTTTTACTATTTTTCGCAATCTTCATATTTTTTACCTAACACACTGGTCATAAATTCCGCACTTTAGCGTTCAAATTTTGGAGGCGTATAAGTCGTTCTCTTTCATCCGATAAAAAAATGCACGTTTTCACATTTCAAGAGTTAAAAATCAACTGTAGACGTGATCGTGTATAGATGAATGTGCACTGGTGTTTACTATTAAAAATTACTTTTGTAACTTTTGTACTCAGTATAAAACACACTCAAGGACAGTACAGAGTTGCTATATTTGCAATTTACTGCCACAGTTAAATAATAGTGTAGAGGGCGGTATCAACCTAAAATCCGATTAACACTGCAGCCCCCACTCCTTAATTGGCGCTACACTTTGCTGAGGTCTATGAATGTACTCAATAAATACAAATATTTTAACATTAGGTGCGGAAGGTGTCCCGATCCTCCTTTACAATTAGGTAATTAATGTAATAGACACAATAAAATTATTTCAATTTGAATATTTCTTAGCTGGTAATTATTCTGTGAAATATAACAATTCCATTGTATTTACTAAAACTCAACTTGATTTCAGTCATTTTATATTCATAAAAAGGACTCACGATTCGATTTTCCTTAGCCATTTACTCACAACTATAATCAGAGTATTTTTTTTAAACAAATAAAATTTATAATTTTTGTAATATTTTCATATTTTCAATATTTAAACATTTAAAAATAAATCTTAGTTTATTAGCGAATACTAACATTTCAGAATGTTTTTAATTAGGGTAGTTAAGAAAACTAAAGAAAAGATACAGAAATTCAGTATTAGCAGTAAAAACATATCCAGGCGCAGATGTACCAACAGATCACAATATTTTAGTAGGAAAAATATGACTGAGATTAAAAAGAGTTGCAAGGATGAATAAGCAAATAGTTACTATTGATAGGGAAAATATGTTAAATCATACTGTAAGACAAGAAATAACTAGTATATTAGAACAAAAAATAAAGTTAACATCAAGCAAAGAGGAAAGTACTGAGGAAAACTGGAAGAGAATTAAAGACATCTTAAAGACTGTTCAATAAACAAAATTGAGTGCTCTAAAAGCAAGAAAAAAACAAGGGTGGATGACAGAAGAAATACTGAGACTTATGGATCAAAGAAGAGAAGTCAAAAATAAAGATAAAAACGAATACAAGAGCACTTGGCCCCAATTAAGTAAGTGCTGAAATACTAAAGTTTTTGGGAAAATGTAATTAAAATGAAATTAAAGCTCTGTGTAATCTCTTTAACATAATTTATGACACTGGGATATTACCAACTGATTGGTTAAAGTCGACATTTGTCACAATACCAAAAAAACATAATTCAAAGATATGCGGTGAGTATCGGACAATAAGTCTGATGAGTCACGTTTTGAAGATCTTCCTGCGAGTAATGCACAACAGAATTTACACGCTGTTAGTGGACAGAATTAGTAATACTCAATTTGGGTTTAGAAGTGGCTTGGGCACAAAAGAAGCAATGTTTAGTATACAGGTGCTAGTACAGAGATGCAGAAATATAAATCAAAATGTGTACATTTGTGCAATCGATTTTGAAAAGGCTTTTGACAAAGTCCGACATAACAAAATGCTGGAAACAGCTAGATTGGACGATAAAGATCTACGAATAATTACAAATCTACACTAACATTCAGTGGCAAGAATAAAGGTTGAACAAGAACTGTCGGATGAAATAAATATAAAAACAGGAGTGAGTCAAGGCTGCATATTGTCGCCTTTACTTTTTTACTTATATTCGGAGGAAATATTTAAGGAAGCCTTAATGGAGATAACCGAAGGTATTATTGTATATGGAGTAACCGTCAAAAATATTAGATATGCCGACGATACCTTAGTGCTTGCTAATTGCGGAGAAAACCTTCAAAATCGAATGAACAAAATAAAACAGACTTGTGATCAGTATGGATTAAAACTCAACGTTAAAAAAACTAAATATATGATAGAGCAAACAAAATTATATACAGGATGACGGGATAAAAGTCGGAGATTCCGTACCGAACAGAGTAGAGAAACTAGTGTATCTCGGCCGTAATGTCAATGAGAGCTGGAATCCAACCGCAGAATTTAAAAGCCGAATAGAACAAGCCCGAGCTGCCTTTGTAAAATGAGAAACGTACTTTGCAGTCACGATCTTAGCATTGACCTTAGAGTTTGAATGACATCGTGCTACATCTTTCCTGTCCTGCTGTATGGAGTGGAAGCGTAGGCTCTAACTGAGGCTATCCTTAAACGCTTGACAGCCTTTGAGATGTGGATATACAGACGACTACTGAAAATAAGCTTGGTTGACAGAGTTAGAAATGAGGAGGTTCTTAGACGGCTGAACCAAACAACACAACTGGTCAATATAATAAAGAAACGCAAGCTGGAATACTTCGGTCACATTATGAGACACCCTGAAAAATATGATCTTTTACATTTGATCATTCAGGGAAAGATCCAAGGTAATCGTGGTCCTGGTAGAAGAAAAACATCATGGCTGAAAAATCTAAGGCAATGGTATGGAAAATCAACTACATCGTTATTTAGAGCTGCTGTCAATAAAGTTACGATAGCGAATATGGTAGCCAACATGATATCCAACGATCGATAGCGGCCATGGAACTAGAAGAAGAAGAAGTTAAGAAAACAATGACTAGGTCATTAACTAATATAGTAAAAATCTAGTAGAGCACTTGTATTTCTAAAAATATTTCGCATTTAGCTAGATTAACTGTGGCTTAGGGGGTTAAAAATTATGAGTGTGGATAAAATTCTATAAAAACCTGGCAAGCATTTATACTTTCAGTTACAAGAAGAGTACAGTAAAATTGTAAAAATAGAATTTTTATCACCTTAAATATTAACCCAACAGAATTATTGACTTCTCTTTAGGAGTAGTTGAGGGGTGAATAATTACTAGTGTGGTAATAAATTTATAAAAACCTAGCAGAGCACTGTGGTACATCACAAAAATTATTTTTAAAATTCTACTCGTTTCAACCGTAAGCAAGCAAAATCGCTCCCCTTAAGGGTGGTTTGGCGATGAAAAATTATTAGGGTGGTAATAAAATAGTAAGAAATGCGTGAAAAAATATTACATAGGTTA